GAAATGGCGCGTTTTATTCCAGTCTCCATTACATGCAGAACAGAGAAAGCTGTTCTGTAGAGGGTTAAAAAAAAAGTTCAATTGATCGGTTTGGATCAGACAGAGCCAACTGATGAACTAGCGGAAATTTCTCTGTAGATGCGACCAGGAGGAATTTGTGAGGCTGCGCGTTCAGAAGTGACCGTAATTTAAGTTGAGCCGTTTAATATATTATAAGTTATTGGGGCCAGTCAGGGGTTTTTGTCACAGAGAAAAAGTTAGATACGTTTATCTGCTTTATGTGTGATGGGATCTGGATTCACGGTTCAACTAGGAGAACATCAACTAAACCGCATAAAAATGTGGCTACATAGCCAATGTTAATATGGTTATAATTTGACGGGTAAAAATAGTACATGACCGTTTAAAAAAAAAAAAATTTATAATGCCGTTGGTTAAAATGACGGAGAACAAAAAAAATCTAGCGCAACCTCTGCTCAGTAGTTGTGTGTGTGTGTGTGTGTGTGTGTGTGTGTGTGTGTGTGTGTGTGTGTGTGTGTGTGTGTGTGTGTGTTTGGTAATGTGGCCCCCACCCTCCTGAGGCAGCAGATCTCCTGAGCGATCTCCTCTCAGACCTGGATTAAAGCATCAGCTCACTCCTGGACAGTCTGTGGTGCAACTTGGCGTTGGTGGAAGGAACGGGACATGATGTCCCAGATGCGCTCTTATTTTATTCAAGTCTGGGGAACAGGCAGGCCAGTCCGTAGCATCAGTGCCTTCATCCGGCCGGAGCTTTTCAGCTACACGATGCATCACAGGAAACACAGGCCCCACTGGCCGTTCTCCTACCTCCACCATCCTCTGGACACTGTGCTGACAGACACACCAAACCTTCTCGCCACTACTCGCATTGATGTGCCATCTTGGATGAGTTGCACAACCTACGCAACTTCTGTGGGTTGTAAAAAGTGACCAAAACATCAGCCAGAAAGGATGAGAACAGAGAAATGGTCTCAATAGGGGGTGGGCCATATGGACTTAAAGATTGATCATGATATTCTGTGGTACTATTGTAATTAGTTAACTGTATGACTGTGATTTCATGACACAATAATTGTAGCCCCAAAAATACAAATCCTGTTCTTGTGTCTTCATAAATGACATTATCAATTTCATTAATGCAATATGCAATTATTTAGTCTAACAGATGATTTTTATGTTTTGGTTTTACAGAAAGGGTGTACAACTCCTCAAAAGAAAGAAATAGAAGATCAGCAGTCGACTAAACCCCAAAAGAAGAGAAAAGTGAGTCTGGCGACACCTGCTGCTGTTGTGGAGAACTGCTGTTGCACACACTGCTGCTCAGGGCAGTGAAGGTCTTTGTGTGGGAATATTAGCTGAATATGCTTCGTTTTCAGAGAAAAAAGAAAACTATCACAGATGTTTTGGCCACCTCGGAGCCAAAGCCGGGCTGTGCAGCTGACCTGCAGGACCTGATTACTCGGTACTACTCAGACAAGCGCTCCGTGATCGAACTGGAAGAGCTCAAACTGCAGAGTGAGTTGCAGCTATTTCCCTTTCACCTTTCATCTTCAGTCGATGTCTGCTGACCCACCGAGTCACTGAGGTCGCCTTGTGTCCTTCCACAGACTCCTGCTTTCTGTCCAGTAATGACTTGACACACACCCTCTCCTCTTATCTGAAACAAGGTGAGCCAGGTTCTGATCTGTGATGAATTTCCTTTTTTTGTTTGTTTGTTTGTTTGTCATTAGATGTTTACAACCAGACTCATGTGTTTGACTTCGATTGTTTTTTTTTTGTTTTGTTTTCTTATTCTCAGTTTGTCCCAAGTGGGCAAAGATCCAAAAGCAGCATTCAGAAAAGAGTTCAGTGGTTATACTGATTGTCTGCAGCTCTGCACTTCGAACTATAGAACTCATCAAGTAAGTAAACGTGAGGTTGGACGGTCAGAAACTCCACTTACAGTGTCTTGCAAAAAGTATTCATACCAAATAATTTTTTGCTCTCTATCAAATCTGACGGGCTTTAATAGAAAAGCGGCTTTTACGCTGAGGTTAATTTACACAAAGATTAACTTATATTTACAAATGAAGTGCATGCAGAAGCATTTGGTTGCTCAGGATTTTATTGAGGGGTATCACGTTTACAGTAGCTGAATACATGTCATATACTCTAAGGGCGCTTTTACACCGAGTAGACTCGGTTCGATTGGGGACCAGAATTGCAATATTTATTACATTTTCAGCTGATGTCAAATTTTCAGGGTTTTTAGAGGGTGAACTAAAAAAACCTGTTCACCCTCTTGCCTGCGGTGGCGTTGCACCAAGAATGACTGAAGGAACCAACATGAGAACCTCTGAAGAAGACAAGGGCAACTTCTTCATGAAATGTAAACAAAAACGGAGCGTTCAAAGATTTTAGTGTTTGTAGGATTTCTCTTCCATCATTGGCAAAAGACAACGAGCCATTTCTCTCTTTGGTTGTATTTATACCCAGAATCCCCTGCGCTACAGTTCGCTAAAGCTTCTTTTGGAGCAGTCTCCAGACCGCTTGGCATTCACATATCCATTCAATCCGAGCCAGAGTTCACTTTAGTCGAAATGAGACCTAGGTTTTCAGGCAGAGGCCAGAGTTTGCGTTTTTCATCCGCATCAGAGTTGGATTGCACATTCACACCTCCCTAAACAAACTGGACTTCTTGGCAAATGAACTAGAGTTTGATTGAAGCGGATTAAATAGGGCCGGTGTGAATGCACCATTAGGTTTGTGGTTATAAAGTGTCAGAGTTAAACAACTATGAATATTTTTTGCAAGATGCTTTATGTTTGACTTCTAATCTCGGACTGTTTCGATTGCAGGCAGCTGACTGCTTTCAAGGGCGAAGCCAGAGCAGTGAAGCTTTTTGCTAAGCACATCAAGGTATTCAATTTGATATATTAGAAGAACGCAGGTTGTCAGTCATGAAGGGGACAGTTGGCATTATGTTTTCTCTGGGTAGATAGAGGAGCAGGTGAAGCTGCTGCAGAAAGGCATCACACACATCGGAGTGGGAACACCAAGCAGGATCAGCGCTCTGATCAACAACGGTTCGTGTGGACAAAACGGTTTGTTGAAAACACCGCGGACGTCCTGAAGCCGTTTCAGTCTCATCTTCTTTTTCTCCAGAGGGTCTGAGCCTGCAGGCTTTGAGGTACCTGGTTGTTGACTGGAACTGGAGGGACCAGAAGCTCAGGCGGATGGTGGACATTCTTGAGGTGAGCTACCGCCCCCTGCTGGATTAAAATGATAAGCAACAAGTTTTAACAGAGTTGATATTTGGATGGAATTTTAGATCAATATTGGGTCAAAAATGGGATTTTGATTATTGGTATCCTTTGAGTCAGGACTCTTTTCCTTTCAGCAGCAGTAACAGTATTTCCAAACATTTCAGGACGTTCTCCTGCTTCTGCCTAGAAAGAAGCCGCGGTCCTCCCCAGCAAGTTAATGTTTATTTATCAAAACATACATCCCTGACGTTTTTATCTGATTTCTAATGAACAAAAAAAATGATTAACAAAGTGATGCTGGTTACAGACTGAAAAAAGTGGGAGTTTTCAAATTGGATGCATTTAATGACCGAGATAAATGTGAGAAAGCAGTTTGAGAAACATTTACCTTGAAATTTCAACATTTGTCACTTTTGTGAGGTTTTTTGATAGCATTTCAGGTCTGCATCTCATTTAACGCTGCATGCTGGTTTATTAGTTGAAACTCAGATTTTCTTTTGTCCTTTATCACCTTGGGCCCATTATTAGTGTCACATTACACCAAAATGACTAGAGTGGCCAAATGACTGGAGTTTCTTAGAGTACAAGAACATAATTTCAGGCCTTTTCCACCACTAGTTGCTGCTCACTGCCAGACAGCTGACTTAAAGAAGACCACTACAGCTTGGGTTGGCATCAGATGGAAGAAAACACAATCTGGTTGTGGAAACTAAAGAAGAGCTCAGTAACTGAGGTGTCTGGTGTAATTGCAAAACAAAACTTTGATAGCCGACTCCATGCTGCACCAGCAGGTAGCCTGACTAATTAACTGCTTTTAACTTATATATTGGATTATTTGACTGGCAATGTTAGATTCTAAAGAGAAGGACAACAAAATTTAATATATTTTGCACAGAAAGAACTTTAAAAACTCAGAATAAATGTATTAGTTCATTTTATACTTTGAAGTAGTTACAAATAAATAAATGCAACAGAGGTAGAAATAAAAATAAATAAATATATTTTTACTGTGAATGTCTATATTTTGTCTCAGAGTAGCTTTATTTCTCGTACCATAAAAATCTGATGCTGGCCAATTAAAACCTGTGATGATTGCAATATGTCTTTTATTTTAGTATTTGTTCAGAGTGCTGTCCAGATTAGTGGTTGAACGTTTTGCATCATGTTTGTCCTTTTTAGGTCAAACTGGACTTCTTGAAGCTGCTGGAGAACGGAGTCCTGGCTGCTTGTAAAGAAGACAAAGTCAAAATTGGACTATTTTAATTTAACATCTGTGTGATCTTATTGTTTTAAATGATCACAGAGGAGCCTCGCACTGTTTGTTTCCCACTGTGTTTATGTCCGCTTCTCATTTATTCTATTTTTCTTCGACCAGAGTTTCTTCAAAGTCTTGAGAAGTCTAGGAAAGTATAAAATATCTTGTTGTTTTCTAGTTCTGGGTTAGTATGGAAAAATGTTTGGGCGTCAAGATTTTTTTTCCCCATTTAGTTTTCTAAAACATTACAGCCTGAGTTTACCTCTCAACCACTGTTAAATCAGACTTTTACGTTGGACCTGGAGTCTGGTGTAATTGCTAAACAAAACTTTGATACTGCTGTTTTCACATTTCTACAAATAGAAGTAAGCATGTCACAGAATCTGTATTTACTAAAATCAAGCAAATGGAAGACGACTTCAGAGTGATGTTTCATGAAAACCTAACGTCTATATAAACAGTTAAAGGCACCTTCCTTGTACTTTGACAATAATGGCACAAAAGCTTCCTAAAAATGCAGAAACTATAAAAAACTGACATTGTGGAGTGGAAAGGATATAGGAGCCATTTGTGTAAAATGCATGTCAGAGTGTGATGTGTGGAATAAACTAGCTCAATATAAAACCTCTATACTGTTGTCTGTTCTTACAGGAAGTCCCTCTTGAAAATGTGAGGTCACTGGTTTACATCAAACAGGAAGTCATTTGTCATAGCAACTTTAGAGTAAAGCAATTCTTTCTTTTTTTTATCAGCCAATAAGGTAGAAATCTTGTATGGTTACAGTCGAATGAAACAGGAACTTGTTTCAGGAAAAAAGTACTTTAGAGGTAATTAAACAATGAGACAAAGGTAACACAAAGAGGTAGTTAGGCAAGAGATTGTGGTTAATAAATGACAGGTTGCAACTGACTCCCCACCCAGTAGTGCCTGTGGTGAGTGCTGTGCGTGTTTGATAGCACACAGGCGGATATCACTGACGTTAAAAAAAAACCCAAACAAAACAAGAAAAGAAGACAGAGCGTCGTTTTCTCAGGTGCCATTTTCAGCCGTCGGTCCCACTCATGGGGAAAACCAAAGACAAGTCTGGGCCCCTGGCTCGGAGGCCGGACAACTCGGCTTTCAAGCAGCAGCGGCTCCCCGCCTGGTCTCCAATGCTAACCGCTAACACTGTGCTGCCTTTCTTCTACCTGCTGGCTGTGATATGCATGCTGCTCGGAGTGTGGCTGCTTCTCCTCGTACAGAGCACGCAGGAAATAAAGGTGAGCGTACATGACTCTTGCTTTTTAGTTCTCACTTTGATGTGTAGAAGAGAAATATCCGACAGTCTGTGAGGGTGGAAGAGGCGCAGGGACGGGAAGCTCGGAGCACTGAGCAATAAAAACGGGGAGTGGCACAGATACACAGGAGCCAAGGTTAAGGTTTGAGTCCTAATTCATGTCTGTTGTTTTCAACCCTTCCAGCTGGACTACACCGATCTGGGAAACTGTAATGAGTGTTTCGACCTGCGTCGAAATGTGAGCAACGCAGTGCAGACCTGCAGCTGTCGGGTGGAGTTTTCAATTGACAAATCATTGAAGGTACCCAACCCTGTGTGAGCGTGTTGGACATACTGTGACATCAGACCCTTCCATGGCTCAACTTTCAAATTCAGAATCCAAATTGCATCACGTATAATTTTCATTTTTATTTTTTTTTTACTGTGTGTGCCTCAGATTAGAGCACATTGCTTCATATTTTGGCTCTCTCCCCAGGGCGATGTCTTTTTCTACTACGGTCTCAAAAACTTCCATCAGAACCTCCGCAGGTACATGGACTCCAGAGATGACGGACAGACGTTGGGCAGGATAAAAAAATTAAAGGTATCTCTAGTTGTTTTTGCCACTTTAGAGGTTATTATTCTCATTCGTATAAATTTTTGTAGTACAATATTCAAAATACATTCAAAAGCTGAAAGTTTCCCTCAATTTTCTCAACTCTGCCTCAGTCAGATTGGATGGTGAACGTGTGTGAACAGCAGTTTTCAAGGTTTTAAAGAGATTTTCAGAGTTATTTAGGTCTGGACTTCTAACACGTGATTATTCTTTGGTCTGAACCGCTCCATCCCATATTGCTCAGTGTATCTTAGCTGCTATCTAGTTTGCTTAGCCCCATTGCAGAAGGTCATCTACACTGCCATGATGATGCCACCGCCATGTTTCACAGTGGGGACGGTGCGCTCAGTGCTGGGCAGTGTTGTTTTCAGTTGATGGATTCATCTCTGTGAGTTCAAAACGCGGCGTATTGCTTTAAAACCCAATCCTGCTGTAAAACACTCTACTCTATATTCAGTCTTTCTGGTATGTTCCTTGGTGTTCACGGTTTTGTTTGTTCGTTTTCTGACGGTGTTCCTGTTGCCTTCAAAATGCAGCATTTATTCATACAGACTAAATTACAAGCGGACTCTACTTTCAAACCCAGTGACTTTTTAAGGCAGTTTGTTGCACTAGATTGTGAAAGAAATGGAAACAGAATGCATCGTTTTTCCTTTCTCTTCACACCTGACTACTGTCCATGAAGACCTAAAGTAGAAGTGGTTTTAGTACTGACCTGTCTGAGTTTACCAGCTCCGTACTACAAGAGGACTTTCCCATGAATCCTCAGCATTTACTTCCTGGACCTCTAAACTTCTAACATCCAGGCCCGTTGAAGCTGTTGAACTTGCTGATGGTCTGTTTCACTTGCACTGAGAGATTTCATGACTGCATGCTGCGGATTCACACTAACAGCTTCCACATGCAGAGCTTGGAGTCAATTAATGTAAGGTATTTCTACAGGCTTAAAAAAAAAGGCGAAATATTTATTAAAAAAAAAAAAAAGTCTGCATATATTTGTGAAACAAACTCTGGGTCCAATTTTCCAATAACAGCTTAGGCTCAAAATGGGATTCTAAACATGCAAAAGCTGCAATTTATAAACTCCTTAAAAGCCAAAACTGTGTTTTGTTGAAGGTAGTTCATTTGAAAATTGATTAGTTTGATCCTCATTTGGTTTAATATCAATAACCTGTTTAGAAGAGTTACATCAACATATTATATAGTGGACAGAAATATAGTGGTGAAAACTGGGCAGCTTCTCCTGTTACAGATTTACATGATTTACAGAATATTGAAATAAAATTAGCAGTTCCAGTGCAAAATTAACTGAAATATCCATTTAGTCTTAAAGAACTTGCATTAATTTCTCATTTTCTTCTGAAGAACCCAAGTTCTTATTGTGCGCCGTTTGACAAAGATAATGACGGAGTCCCCATCGCTCCCTGCGGAGCGATCGCCAACAGTATGTTCAACGGTAAACACCGCTCACAACGCTCGCCACCCGACACGTCGTTGATCTCTGCATCGGCCAGCTGACTGTCTTTTCTCCTCCCAGACTCCTTCACCCTGAACTATCACCTCTCCAGCAGCCGTATTGTTCCTGTTCCTTTGCTACGAACGGGCCTCACCTGGTACACAGACAAAAACGTCAAGTTCCGCAACCCAAGGGCCGACAATCTAACTCTTGCTGAGGTGTTTGAAGGTAAGGAGACATGACGCGACCTCGGTCTGGGGAAGGGCTTTCGTTTCTCTCACGAAAGATGCAAGAAGCCGGGCACGAGGACAAACCTCTAGCGTTTCCTCCGCAGGTACGAGACCGCCTCTGTACTGGCAGAAGCCTGTATACAGTCTGGACCCACATGACCCGAACAACAACGGTTTCATTAATGAGGACCTGATCGTCTGGATGAGAGAGGCGGCTTTCCCCAACTTCAAGAAGCTTTATGGGATTTTAAATAGAGCAGACCCCATCTTTGAAAAAGGGCTTCCGAAGGGAAACTACACCATCGATATATCCTACAGTATCCTTTCACTGCAGTTTTCACGGGAAACCTCCTTCAGGCTCTTGTTTGACGGTTCACCTAAAGTTGAAATGAGAAAAAAAATGAATCTCGCATCTTTAGTTGAAGCTGCATATTCTGAGACTAAATCATTTTTCTTGCATCACATTATTCCACAACAGAATCATCTTTATTTTTACTTTGTTTTAATGTGTTTTTAAAAATTCTCATCCACTCTTCACAATGGCAAAGACAAGACAAACATGCACATGAGCTTCATAAGTCAAGAAAAATGCTCATGCGTGATTTTAGAACATTCTGTTGAAGTGTTACATATTATAATGTTAAGATTAAGCCGTATTTTCCTAGATTTTTTCCGTAATCTTTTTTTTTTTTTTTTTTTTCCCATAGTTCACCCAGCCAGATAAATGTATATAAGCACTCAAAACATGACCTAACACCATGTTTTATCCAAAGAAGTCCTTGATAGATGCAGTAAAGCCCAGACTGACATTGTGTGGCTCTGTTAGCATTTGTTAGGCAACACCTACATACATGGTGAAGGCAAAAGCAGGTTGTACAAAGTACCAACCGCAGGGATACCAAAAAGTGTAACACTGCTGATTTTAGTTTCTTCAGAAGTTCTTTTCCTCCTGCTGAATTAATGTGCTCAATTTAATGAATGGATTTTCCTACATTGTGAAACCGTGAATTTATTTGATTTACGCAATTTTTTTTTTCTTTCCCAGAAGCGCCAAAATTAGTGGAAGCTGCCATGTTTATTTGCATGCTACCTGCTGCAGATTAGCCTTGACCTCCTGCCTCTTCAGACTTCCCTGTGCAGCACTTCCAGGGCAGGAAGGGAGTGGTGCTGACCACGCTGACCTGGTTCGGAGGCCAGAACCATTTCCTGCCGATTGCCTACCTGGTAACCAGCAGCCTGATCCTGCTGACGGCCGTCGTCCTCACCGTGGCCTGGTGGAAGTTCGGAAAGGATGGGAAGAACATGAAGGAATGAAGCATGGAGGCGTCAAGACACAGAGGACTGAAACTGATGAAGGATTGAGCTGATTGATACTCGTGCTGCTGAGAAGGTTTGCAGACCAGAGACGGGAGACCCAAAGTGACAAAATTGTTTTAATAGGAAGCAGTCAAGCTGCATTTTAAACCGTAGTTTATTTGAAGGGTTCGTGATGCATACGTCACATTAGGGCCTTGCTATACTGGAGCACAAAGTGCCATAAGATGGTGTTTTTCACATCTTTTTGCTAAAGAAAGTTAAATAATTAAAGCACTTATTGTGTTGCATTTTATTAAAAAAAAAAAAAAGAGTAATTTGGGAGATGTAAATTGTTTATTTGGAATAAAGTCAAAAGGATTAGAATGAAACTGAAAATCCTAGTTTTTATAGGTGCAAAGTGAGCAGCTCATGACTGGTCCCAATTTTTCACCGGTCAGAAATAAAAGTAAATATTTTTTTCTTTCAGTGAACAAATCTGATTTTTACACCGATGCACTGTTTAAGGAAATATTTCTGCCCAAAAACTATACTGAACTTTTATCTTAGTAATTTTTTTTTTTTTTTTTACTGATATGGTGTTATGTTCAGGGTATAAATATAAAAGTAAGTGACTTTATAAACTTGTTGGCTCTTTGTGCAGAAACTCTGGTACTGTGAAAGGTAAAACTTGTTTTTTAATTAAGGCTGATACACCAGGTGCTTTTTAATTTGTTCCAAAGTCCAGAACCTAATTAACTTTGAAATCAGAATAAACACCAATTCATATTAGAAAGTTCTACAAAGAAACTTTCTTATGTGAACTTTTAAAATAAACGTACATGTTTTGACACCCAGATTTTGCAGTGACTCCGCCCAGACACAGCAGAAAGTAGGAAAAATATTGAGTGCCGTTTTGTTTTTTCTGTTGGTTTTTTTAAGAAGCAAGATTAAACCCTCAAAGTGGCCACCGATAGCTGATTTGTGCTTCTCAGTTTTGCATTTCTCTAAGTTTCACACCTTTGTCTGTCGCATGAAATACAGCATCAGCTCATTTAAATGTTTAATTATATTAACCTGTTAATTTAATATGAAAGCCAAGCTGTTATTTATATTACTTAGTCAATTGCAATGACTGAATTTTCAGTGAAGCACTAAAGAAATAAACATTTCTTTAATAAAAAAAACATCTTTATTCCTTTTTTCTCCTCCCAAACAGATTGATTCCACCTTTTTTATGCAACCAGGGAACTTTTAATCTCCATAAATCACTCTGTGGTTATTGAACACAATCAGCGCGTGACACTGGCGCACCTTGCCACAGCTGAGGCGGCTGTTCTGTGAAAATATGAAGCAGCTTGATGCACGTTTGTCCACCATCTGCCCTCCTGTCAGCCAGTGTTTTGCTCAGATCAGTGCCTGCAGGCGTGCAGGAGAGGAAAGCAGTTTACCGGTGCAACATTTAAACGGTTAAACACTCGGACGCCGATGTACACAGACGACGGGAACAATCGATCTAAACGCTTCAGGACAGATGCAACACCGACTTTAAATACTAAATCACACACTACCATTTGCAACAACATTACACTTCTCTAATTTAAGACTTTTTTTTTTTTTTTAATGGTTGTGACGACGGCACAGATTTGGACCACAGAAGGCAAGATTTGGTCTCCATCAGGAAAAGTCACGGGTAAAATACTTCATGACAGAAGTTATCCTAAAAAAAAAAAAAAAAAAGAAACTTCTTTCAGCCATAACAGTGCAACAGATTGATTCGCTAACAGTGAGGGGGGCCGCTCGGTAATCAGCAGGATGTGAAGTAAAAAACAATCCGACAATCGTTTGACCTAAAAGGATCGCAGTGATGGAATTACAACAACTATTAACAATTTCAAGTCATGCTTTAAAACACAAGTACCATAAGGAAGGCGACGCGATCCGACAACGCACCATGGCGCGGTTCGGAAAGGATCTGAACGCAAGCGACGCAATGAAACATGCAGCGACTGGATGGAGAGACGATCGGGGTGGAAAATCACAGCTTCGGAAGAGAACAGGTGGACACATCACAAACAGGGACAAAGTCTTTCACAAACAGTAGTCAGCTTCCTCCTTTCCGTCACCAACACATTCATCGTAGTTTCAGTGATAGGACTCTAAAGGCACCACACAAGCAGTTTTTGTAGCCTTGCAGAAAAGTTCAGGAAATACAGACATCTCCAGCTGAATCTGAAGCTAAAAAGGTAGTGTTCATTCAAGACTTCAAAGCCAGGTGGGTTCTCCTTCCCCAAACCGGGCTCGTCCGGCCTCTTTGGCGCTCAACCAGCTGGCTTTGGAGGAACTTTTTGAGGGACCTGATAGGTCAGATCCTGAGTGGGCGTGGTCTGTCCGTTGGCATTTTTAGGCGTGTCGTAGACAGACCCCCCAGACTGGCTGCTGTCCGTCCATGTGAGCAGTGAGCTGGGCCCCACAAAATTAAGCACTTTGGAGGGCAAGTGACAGCCCATGTCCACCACGATGGGAGTCGCGTATTCGGCTCCTGATGACGGCAGCGGCTCCGCGTAGGGGTGGTAAACGTCGGGTGGGATGGGAGCGTCGTACAGGTCTGGATCCGAGTAGCCCGGTTCAGGCCCTTCGTCTGGTTTAAAGGTCGACCGTGCACCCAGTGTGGTCACGCCGCTCACCAGCGGCTGGGCATACTCTGTAAACAAAATGGAGGAGTCAAAGTTATTTTTGGGGCGTTTCGGAGCATTCTCTGCGTTGGAAGTTTAGAACTCCCGTTTTGGAATACTATAAGGGTTCATTCACACCAGCCCAGTTCGGTCCGCTTTAATGGACCTCTACCAAGTTTGTCTTCAAGGTCTGGTTGGTTTAGGGAGGTGTGAACACCAGGAGTATAAACATCGTCTCTGCTGGAGTATTGCGTCAGAGTTGGGACTGCCCTCTTGCTGGACAGAAACTGATCATCGGCTGAATATTTTGCATAAAACCTACCTTGATGTGGGATATTTACCCACCTGCAGTACTATGTAATTCTGAATAAATTAAGGCAAAATATTTTGCAATCCTTCTCACAGAAAGTGAAGTAGTAATGTGAAAAGATGGCCTCCAGGGGGCAAATACAGAGGCTGACAAGATGTATTCTTGTACAATAGTCTAAGGAAATATTAAGCTTAAAAGATTTTAATAACTTTATAAGAAACACACGACTAAAACATCTTATTAGCCTTAAAAAGGACCAGATTATTTATTTTTTCCTCGCAGTGAGCAGGGCGTACCTGCAGGTTCAGCGTGCAGACTGGGAACGGCGCTCCGTCCCGCCAGCCGGCTGACCTCAGGGGTGCTGTAGCGAACCGAATCCTCGGTCTCCATCATCTTGGAGGGCAGCAGCTGCTTCATGCTTTTCCACCAGACTGCGACACACCAATAATGAGTCGCGGAGCTGCAATACATGCGCTACTCGAAGTGACAAAGCGGTGACATACCTGTCCGATCCCAGTAGGGAATGTCGTACGATCCTTCTGCGCTCTTTTTCCTGTATGGAGAACAAAAGGTCAGTAAAGGAGGGGATTTCACGTTTGGGAGACGTGAGGAGATACAAAGTCGTACTTATTCCTCCAGTGGCAAACGCAAGCCACCGTCAAGATCAGGGCGGTCAGAACCACGACCGCCACCGGTACCAGAACTGCCATCAGCACCACGTCTGGGAGTGAAAAGACAACGCTGAAGCTGAAAACAAAGATCTGCTATTGTACGGAGGGGAGGTCTCACTCTGGTCAAAGCTACCTTACCTTTGCCACAGTGCGGAGGCATCGTCGTGTTTCTGATGTCCGGCGTGTGCGTGGCTTCGCTGAGGTGAGGCGGGTGCTTCGTCTTCGCGGGAGGTGGAGTGGAACCAGAACCGGAAGTAGTGAACAGTTTTGTAGCAGCTGCTCTGCCACCTGAGCAAAAGGATGGCCAACAAAATACATCCATGAATTGAACTTTTTTTTTTTAACTCACTGAGACAGAAACTCAATTTTGCAAATTAAACATGCGGTACTTAAAAAAAATAAAATAAATAAACTTTGGAGTTTTATACATCCTGCTAACAGCAGTTTAGTGCATCGTTAAAGTCCTTAATTAGTCCTAAAACAAGTGATTCATTATAGGGTGGTTCAAATAGAACAAGTTGTTCTTTTTAGCTTTGGAGCCAAAACAAAATGGATAGAACAAAGTTTGGGTATGCAAATGTTTCACCATACTCTCTTCTTGACAAAACTTGAGGTGACTTGCAAAAGTATTCACACCCCTTAAACTTACTGACGTTAAGATCATAAACGTCACAGTAGTTTACTAGTATGTTTATGTCAAAGTAGAACATAATACTGACGTGGAAGTAAAATGCTCCACGGTTTACAAATGTTTTTCACAAAAAAGAAAAGTGAATAGTGTGTCATGGATTTGAAATCAGCAAATGCATGGTGTGTGTATGTATTCATATTATATATATATATATATATATATATATATATATATATACACACACACACACACACACACGCCTGACATTAAATTAGTTGGAAATGTTGGAAAATCAAAATCATTTATTACTTTTCCTTCCAATTCAGAACTATACACTACTTTTTTTTGCTTTTATTACTCTTCCTATAGCACCTTTACTTGACCAGGATGTCTCACTGAGACCAGAAATCTCTGACCTGTAAAAATACTTTTGCCGGCTTTTTAATACATTAAAGGGATGGTTGGTGGTGAACTAACTTCCTTTACCTCCAGGAACGCAGCCAAACAACTCCAGCTTCAGAGCAATCCTCTGTTCCCACGAGGTGGGATTTATCCTCACAAAACGAGCCTCGATTGGAGGAATGAAGTTGTTCCTCACCTTGTCCTGGTAGTCCATGTTACCTTGGAAAATCTACCATAGATTAAGAAGAAGAAGGAAAAAAGAAACATGACAGCTGAAAGTCAGAGATGGCGCAACAACGAACAACAGTTATTTGCCCCCCACTGGAAAAGCTGATAGCTGCTATCTCCCACACAATGAGGGAGTGTGTGAATCCCCCACAGTGAACCGTCACAGGCAGCAGCTCCGCCGCTCAATCCATATCCTTCCATTATTAATACCCGACTCGGCCATTACAGCACTTATCTGCGACCGCTGCCTCCTCTCATTTCCTACCATCCACGTCTTTTAGTCAATATCAGCTGCTGGGGAAACAAAATACTCCTACCGCTTTAAGAAATTACTTTACCCATTTACTGTAATTTGGAGGGGAAAATGAAGAAAACATAAAAGCAAATGACGTAATGGCTGAACAAGCAGGGTTTATTATTGATTTCTCCTTTTTTTTTTTATTCTTCTTTTTGTACCTTGTCTTGTGAAGAATTAGTTTCCCTGTAGAAATGCCACTCCTTGCCATCTTTGCTGAACAGAACCCGGTATGCCTTCACAAAGTACGGGTACTCGATCCGGTCGGAACCCGTGGTGACAATCGCTGCAGAGAGGAGACAGTCGGCTTACAGGTGAAGAATAAACAGGGATGCACAGTATTGGGAAACCCTCAGATTTTCAAACCATTGTTGATAAGTAGCATCAGCGTATGCGTGTGTGATTAGATTGAATTGGAGCTACATAAATAGCGTTGTAAATATTACCATTAAGACATCAGCTGTGATCTCCTCCTTTCCTCTCCTATGTGAGCGTCTGCTTGGGATATATTAGCCAATAATTATTGTCCTTTCCGAACAGTCTGTTGTGATTTAAATAGTTCTAATATATTTGCTACATATATTATGCAGCTTTAAGACTAATACTATATTCTTTATTTGGACTGAAAGCTGAGCTCCACGTCTTTACGGAAGCAGTATTCATGCACAGCATCAATATGAAACCTTAGAATTAAGCCGTTTGTTTGTTTAACTAGAAAGTTAATGGTCCACAAACACATACCGAGTTAATAATGCAAAGCTATGCTGGCAGCTTGTCAGACCAGGACAGAAGCAGGGAGTATTCTCATTTCGTGCTGCTGGATCAGAACCAGGTTTAAAGCAGAGATTCAAAATGCACAAAGATGAATCGGGAGCAAGAGACAAAGTCAATAGAGAAGGCAATATTTTTATTTTTTTTTTATTGCATTTGAACTCAAAAAAGCTGTTTATCAAAGTTTTTAGAACCTAAAATGGCTAAATCAGAGAATAAATCAGGTTTTTGTGTTATTTTCTGTCCGGCTTTTACAGTGTTATAAAACCCCGACGGCAAAAAGGCGTTCTGTCTTTAAACATGAGAAGCACAAGAAGCGACTCGAAGGGACGAGTAATCGTCATGCAAGTTGTGGGTTCGATTCCTGCGTCCAAGTCAGTGTGTTGTACATTAACACAGACTGACACGTGTTCACATGTTCATGACAACTTTTTCTGTAGCTCGTAAATTAACATTTCAAAAACAATTACATGCATAGTCAACTTAATTATAACAACCTTTATTTAACCGAAAGGAAAATGAAATGCTGCAGGAGATCATTATCGTCCTGGTATCTTCAAAGACACATGGTGGATGGTGATGCTGTGGGCAGGACGGTTTTTGGTAGCTGTCAGTTTTTCAGCGAATGCGAAGAGGCCTCTGACTGAAGACTGTTGCTGTCTGACAGTGCTATGACATGCTAACAGCTCAATATCTGGGGAGCAGAAACAATGTTCCAGGGGGACACCACTGCTAATCCACCTCATTTGCTTTTGCTGCTTCTCTTTAAATCTCTGTCTGACAATATGATTGAAAGTCAGGAAGAGAGACGGTTGAATCGAATCGGATCTGATCCATGGTTTGAACTGCCTCTTTGTCTCTCCGCTCTTTTCATCTCCTCTGGGATTTGAGGTCATAGTTCAGGTATCATTTGAGCTTTAAAAGAGGCCAATCGGCTGCTCCTATTTGCAAGAACAATACCTTGTTGCTACTGTTGCGCATCGTAGCAACTGTCCGAAATGACAAGAGCAAAAATCTTTCGAACAGCACGGCATCCAAAACCGGAGGGAATAACCAACCCAAATCATTATGACTAAAGATCTTTTTAAAGCCATAGAGAGGGAAAGAACAACAGAACAGAGATGTACCTGTGATCCTCTTCTCCCTCCTGAAGTCAACCTGCAGCCACTGCTGCCGGTCGCTGGGTGAAGGAGCCCAGGGAAGCCCGGGCTTCTTCAAACGAGCTCCCGACTTCCCCCACACGACGTGCTCACCGGCGGTGGTGTTCCAGTCCCACACGGACGAAACGCTGAGCTGAGAGTCCACAACACCACCAGACTCCAAACCCAGCGTCCCGGAGCAGCCTGAGAGAGGCATCCGTAACACAGGAGGAGGCTTGGTTTTAAAACACGCTTTCAATTGGTGTTTGGAAAAGTTTGTACATGTTTTTTGTTTTTGTGTGTGTGTGTGTGTGTGTGTAAGAAAAAACACATTTCTATATGCTTTCTGAGCTCCAAGCGTTCACAAGAAGAAAACAAAAACTCACCATCTGTTTTGAAGGTGAAAAGATTCTTTGATAAAATTCCTCTGAAAGAAGATGAAACAGAAACTATGAGTGAGTGACTGAACAGGAGTGAAGACGGTAGAGATGAGTTTTCTGCGCTGCGGCGTCTGTATTTCTCACACAGTGGAAGTGACGTTATTTGCCAGTGTTGCCTCGTAGTGAGGAATGCCTGTGCTGCTCACCACGGTGATCTTCCCTCCCGCAGCATTGGACACCGCACCTGCATGGATAGCCGCCACGCACAGAGGGGACGACTGCAGGGACGAGCACAGGAAGGGAAGACAGCAGAGACTGTTGCTAGGTACCTTTACAGCACAGATTCGTATCTGTTCAACCGTGAAGAGCAAACAACTTACAGTTTTTTCAAGATGGTGGAGGAAAAAAAAAAAAAGGGGCTTCAGACAAGATGACAGACTGGAAAAACCTGCTTTGGGTAAAATATCTCCAAAGCTATAATAGTACTAAAGGGGACAAAAACAATAAAAAAATAAAAAACATTCTCTCGTTGCCACCACGCTATACAACTGTTAACTTTTCAGTAACTGTACAATATGGACACCAAGGCTGGAACAAATCCATCCAATTAGCCAGATATGTTACCGTCATGCAGGGCGTTAAATGCTGAGTACATGCGATTTCTTTTGCTTTTGGGATTCAATATATTGTGAAGTTTCAGGTTCGTGATGAATAGATTAGCTTCATCTGCCCTATTGAATATCGAAACCAAAATATGAGATGAATGATGCAGAGCTGAAGCTCTTAGTAGTGATTAATCGATCTATTGAAGTAATTGTCAACTAACTTGGAAATCGATCAATTGTTAACTGGACTGTACAGACTAAAAAAAAAAAAACAAAAAACTGTTGCTCAAAGAACACCAGAGGACAAAACTGCACAAAAAACCTGCTTTGTCTGTAAATACATTCTACCCACAACTCCTTTAATGTCAGTTTTAGCTTGAACCTGGTTCAAATTCTATAAAATACAAAAATAATCTCCTGTTAAGCATCGTTTTGTGTCCAATTATAAATTGATTAATGTTATGAAATTACATGGTAGTCCTTCGCTGTATTGATAAATCAAGCAGAAAAGGTTAAAACCTTTCACATGTTGAAGTTAGATGTTTTGTTTTAGATTCTTTGCTACAGTGTTCATTTAAGGAATGGTATATTATGGCAATTTAGGTAATAACATTTATATTTTCTTATTTAAAAAAGGAATTGAATTATTAGTTTGCATGCATTTTAATGCATTTCTAATATTGCATAAAAAAGGGCTATTGTGACAAAGTGAAAAATCAGCCGAACGTCGCAAATTTTTTATCCGATTAATCGCCCGTCAAAATAACTGATGATTACTAAAATAATTGTTAGTTGCCGACTGTGGATTAATTCTAGTACTATTCCACAATCGGCCATGCAATCTGAAGAAAACCTGTGAAACAAAGACTGTTGAGGTTTACTGTAATTAAACCTGATGTTCCTGAGTGAAGCAACGGCCAATAAGAAGACGTTTACGTTAGCCGCTACAGCTCCACTGCCAGTTTCGTGCAGCAATGCGGTGTCCGCCCTGCGTTGCAGTGTGATCACTTTAACCTTCAGACTCGAGCAGATGAGTGACATCATCCTGATTCATCAGCTCCTCTCTGTACGGGAGCCACCGATGGGGAATGTGTCACGGCCGACTGCATTCCTGTCCAAACCTGCTTCCACATCACAGAGCAGCTGAGCAAAACTCAGATTACCCTGCCGCCCCCACCTCTTCCAGAGGAGTAGATCCTCCATACGAGCAGCTGCTGGAGCGGGAGTGAAATTTTATTACGGGAAAAAAAGACCCACAGTGGAATTCACAGCTGAGGAGATTGTGGGAAAACTGGTGACCCGCAGAGTGACGAGTACACATGCAGCAGGCTGGGATTTATGCACAAACGCAGCAGTAAAAAGCCTGCCACAAGCCATCAACACCTTCGCTGTGACTCTTAAACTTCCCAAAAGTCGCACGCCACATCCTGGAGAGAGGCTTAGCAAAAACCGCTGCGACAAAAAAAAAAATAAAATAAAAAAATCGCTGCACCCTGCCTCCAACGGAGAAAACCGTACACTTGAACACACACGTAGCAAGGTGTTGGAAAGGGTAAAAGACAACTAGAAGTGAAATAGTAATCTCGGTGGAAGGACTAATACAACATACTGACAATCACCATTCTGGAATCACACACACGCCCTCCAGAAAGCAAAACATGAATGAATCACACGCAAATAAAAACGCCCCCGGTGTCCACATGCAACGCCGTTTCTCTAGCGTTTTAATAACATTGACTCCTTCGGCAGGTTTTTGTCTCTCCAGAAACACTCAACACGCGGCTCTGCTCGGCGCTCTCCTGCAGCTGGACTGGATTACAGGGTTATTATTTTCAGCCAAACTATTATCTAACCTCCCTTTTACCCAGTGACCCTGCCCCTCCTCTGTTCCTGTGGGGCGCCTCGCTCCCTGAAGCACACGCCCCCGCGCTCCTCCCTGTCTTCCCATCTGTCAGGAACACCCTTCCCGCCACCATCCAGCAAAAAAAAAAAGGTTCCAAAAAAAATAAAACTAATGAGGTCATCATTAGGAGACTAAGTAACTCTGACCTAAAGCACAGCAGGGGGTTCCGTGAGGTCATCAAACCAGGACGTGGCGTTAACTCACCTCTCTGTATCCGTTTGGTGTAGTTCCAGAAATCTTCTCTGTAGATGTCAAGCAGCCTGCAGGACAGTATTTACTGTGAAGAAACAAAGCAAAAACACTATGAGTATCAGTCTGGTCTTTGAACAAAAAACCTAAATAAAATCGATGCCAAGCAAACGGCGTTCACCTGAACTCCGCCTCTGGGAAATCAGATCCTTTGTCGAGGCAAGTGATTAAATCTGCAAAGGGGAAAAACAAACGGCATCAGGACTGGTTTCTCTGCATGTCGCTGCAAAACAAACATTCTCTCCTCCTCTATAAAAAGGAAACCACCGCTGCGTTTTCTGCAATCAGACGTCTGAAAATTATAAAGTACAGCGCTCAAAATAAAAACCATTGTTTCCCAAAACCGGACGTGTTTTTAGAGAAACTTCTAAAATTAATTGCATTTTTCTTGATCCACTCGGTAAGCGGAGAGACACGGCACCTCGCAAAAGTATTCACGCCTCTTTAGCTTTTCGTATTTTGTCATATTAGATCCACAACGGATGGACGGACGGAGAGCCTCTCTGACCATTAGTCTTGATAGTTTTGCCACACATTGTGAGTTTTTGATTGAGTTGTGATCCAAATCTTTGGATTTACTTCCATCCATTTCCCCATCAAACCCAGTCAGCTTCCCTGTCGTTGCTGAAAGACAGAATTCCCATAGCACCATCCTGCCCCCACCATGTTTCAAAGTGGGACTAGTGTGTTCACGGTAACATGTGTGTAAGGGACAGAGCAACGTTCAATGGCCGACCTCAGGACCTTTATTAACTCAGGTTTATAGTGAGTAACTAATATTTTAGTTGAAATACGCAGACTATGGGTCCAGGTATAATAAACATGTATATCCTACAAATAAAGTTTGCTGTTCACTGGATTATATTTAATATAATCCATGCAAACCTGAGTGGTTTGTATAAATTTGACCTCCTACAAGTTTGAATTACCTTCTCATCCATGAGTCCAACAGGTTTTTTTTTTCCTATGAATTTGAATGTCATAGAAAGAAAAAGGATTTTATAAATATCAGGAAATTTCATTTCTGTCTATAGAAATCTAAAGGCGAGAGTCGCACAATTTCAGGAAAATATTTAGATACCGTTGCTGAAAATGTTAGTGGTAGAGTCACAGAACATGCTGAAAATGTCTGAGTGTGACTCAAACTTTTGCCTGCGAAGGAAAAAAAAAATCCATACATGTAATGTATAAGATTAATTAGTTCTGTCAAAATTTAAGACCTGGGAAAAACATATTAAAGGCCAACTTACTTTTTTGATACAAAATTTGAGATTTGACAAGGATGCGGGGAATATTATACCCCATCAAACATAGCATCCATTATTACTGAGATATTTTACACATTGATACTGCGGTTCAATAGACTTTATAACAAAACTCTGTGGGAGCCATGTCAAATGTTTCCCCATAAGAGAATCATGTACAAGATGACTCGAGTAGAAAAGCGACTGAATGACCTCTATAAAACATTTTTGGATTGGACCTGAAAAACTCCCGCAGCTGCTCGCATGTTAAAAACAGACTTGCCAACCGACTTCAGACGTCCTGGATTTGTCCTGATTGTGGCTTGAACTGCATCACTCAAAGGAAAAATAAATCTGAATCCATAAATCCGCGGAGATTCAATTTGAATTTTGAACCCGCCGTGAATCTTTCCATGTAAACTCTGAAAAACAACAAAGCGGCCCTGCGAGGCCGTGGGAGTACAATGGGTGATCAAACACACCAGTCATGTCTCGCAGGATGACGTGGGCTGCTGGGAATGTCATGTAAACTCTGCGGTGACTTGCAGCCCTCCTTCTGCCGTGACCACATTAATATGATCAAAAACTGTACCTCGAAAACGAAGTTAAGATAGAAAAAAAAAAAAAAAAGAGAGAAAAAAAAGCCACCTCGCATCGCCATGGTGATTGGTTAACTTTTGGTTCAAGCTACCCACCCACACACACCTGAGTGATCATTTTCATGTGAGGAAAACACATGCATCAGCTTTGTGGTGGGAAAAATGCCACCCAGTGTGATTCAGTCGAGCCACGATGACCGTCGGAGCTAAATAATTGCGGATACTTATTTCTTGCGGCTTCGGCTCGTCTCTTGCCTGTTGTTTTTTTTTTTTTTTTTTTTTTGTTAAACCCTAGAATATTTCTGTAGCTTACTGACCAACGTGTGCACTGACATAAACAAGATATTTGTCTGTCTCAAGTTTTTAAGTTCTCGAGTTTTGGATGTATTTAAAAGAAAAACCTCAAACATTTCCTTATGTGATAAGGAAGGGTATCAAGGGTATATTAGCAGGTAGTTAATAGTAGCCTCAACCGCCTCGAAAACGCAATAAAGATGTCAGCATGCGACTCAAACTTTTGCCTAACAGAAAATCCCACAACAAAAACACCTACAAGAGATGAAATATTGCTGACAGGACAAAATTTTATACCTGTGATTAGTTAATTAACTTACTTTTTTAAAATGGATTTAAGATGTTTTAAGACCACACTAGTTTAGTTACAAACTGGCATTAGGGACATAAAATCAATGTTTTGAAGTGGGTATCATGAAAGCCTGATCTGCAGGAGGTGTGTCTGAGTAAAGCCACCGACAGCCCTGACCCGGTTATACCAGTTCAGCTTGTGGACGGATACCCAAAACATTTGACCCGTGTCAAAGTTTGAAGGGGAAATTCTGCCAAATAATAAAAGTTAAATTGCGAATCTGAAGCCATTGTTCTTGCACTCAGGGAAACGGGAATAATCCTGGTCATCCTGACTGATGTAATCCAGGAAACCTTCAGTCACGTTTTATGCCAAGAAGTGAGAGCAAACGGCTATATTCCTTTTTTTTTTTAACGCAGTGTATGTAAACATCTGGTTTTAACTGCACATCTGATAGCACAGATCAAATGACACGCAGAGACGAGGAAAACGCAACAAGCTGCCAGCTTTTAGACAAACCCATATGTTAAAAAGATTTGTGTATGAGTGTTTTTTCAGGACAATACAATTACTTCATAGTCATAAAAATAAAGCTGGGGTACAGAAAGAAAACAGCTGTGACTAACACAGAAAATCCTAGCAACTCTTACCTCCAGGGCTAAAACAAAAACGGAACCAGGCTCAGCGCTCAGGTCTCGTAATTAAAACGAATGCCACTGGAGAAAGACAAAAAAAAAAAAAAAACAGAATGGTGTAGAGCAAACCAGCAGCCTGCATACCCGAGTGTTCAGTGGTGGAGTAGGACAGGTAGAATCCACGTCCCGTACGGTGCATCACACTCCTGAACTGGACAGTCACCTGGTTGCCCGAAGACTCGATCAGCTCATCAACCTTCTGATCCAAACCACAGTATTTCACTTTAATGCAAGAAATAAGAAAGCACAGCGATTAGTGAAATTTTATGCATAGATTTAATAAGAAAGTATGGAATAAATTCACTGTATACTCTTAAGTGATGCTGCCTGGTTAATTAGTTAAGGTATCGCCTCAACTTGCCAGGCTGCATTCACCACAGACATGATGTCACAGTTTTCCGAATGTCATTTAAAAAAAAAAAAAAGTTACCGCTCAGCTACCACTCCTTTAGTTTATACAGCATGACCAGAGTAACCGGAAATATCTACACAACAGTCCACCTTTGTTGCGAGTGAGAAAATGGTAACCCCCTCCTTTCAGCCGTGCAATGTGCAGCAACAAGTGGGGGAAGGGCAGCACCTCGCTATGCTATGCTCTATAAAGCTGGAGAATAAACAGGTCGCTCCAGGGCGTTTTGCTTGACATCTCATTAAAGTTACTTCAAACTGTAGGAATAGCAGGATGGAAAATATATTTTTTTAAAGTGACTTTATTTTAAAACCTCAATATTCACAACGAATCCAAGCTTTCTCCAAGCTGTGTGACAAAATAAATGCCTCCAACCACTTCATCCAGTGATCCCTCAACCACAACAAAATGAAATCAAACTTAAGACCAAGTTTAATTCTCGACCCAATCCAGATCAAAACTTATAGCAGCAATTGTCCTAAGACGGGAAAAAAATTGACATTAGCACAAATGAGTTCAACCTAAGGAGCAGGACTTTATACATCAGGTTAAGCTGACTAAAAGATGACTAATTTCCCAGTTTCAAGAGCAAGCACCAACCTCGACACTCCCGCCACCCAGTATGAGGTGATCATACTGGTATGGGGCCAGTAAACATTCCATTGTAACAAAATGAGCAGCGTCACTTTTCCCCGTGTCGCAGTTTTCTGGTTGATCAGCATATTTTCACAGTTACTTTTCTCACACTTTTAAAGGACAAAGAAAACATGAAATGAAAAGCCAGCGAGAACTACGCGGCTCAGGATAATCCATTATGCAACATTATTAAGCTGTTTGCAACAATAATTCACCGAGACTCAATTAGACCTGAATTTCAACCAGAACATTTATTATGTCCAATCTAGTGTTATTAATGTTGGCTTGTCTACTCAAGAGTCTGGTCAGACGGTTGTTTTGAATCCAACGCTCGTCCTACAAAACATCAGTTACTTATAATTAAGACATAAAAATATTTTTTTTATTATTTTACTATTCATTAGCTCCATTTCGATTACTTCCCTTTAAGACTGTGCAGTGCGTCTCAGAAGTGCAAACTAACAGACTGGATTATAATTTTAGTCAGTGACAGTGATTGTGGACCAAGCTACGTAAATTCAGTGAGAAATGCTCATGTTTCTCTCTGACTGCTCCAATCCTCTCACAAATGGCTTCTCCTTTCATCCCTACACACAAAGTGGGCTTCTGTGGTTCTGCTTGTGGAACCACCGAGAGCCCCAGGAATACCCATCCATTATGTTTTTTGTGTGTTCTTTAAACAGAGGTGAAAGCAGCTTTAAGTATCAGTATCATGTGTCAAAGTAGACCGGGCTGCTTTGGGCTTGAGGTTAGTGGTTTGTTGTCTCTAAGTTAACCTACCCCAGATAAACTTCATAATGCATTTAACTAAGAAAGAAAGTCGACTTTCTGTTTAGAAACATGACCAGAGTAAAGGCAGACCCACTTTTAGTTGGGTGGATTTAAATATAACCAGAGCATCGTTCTACTTACTCTTTGCTCAAACCAGTGAGCATCAGCACTGTGCAGTTTGGTTTCTTTAAAATTAAGCTTTGGCTGAAAGTTCACAAGTTTAACAATTAACCAAAAACATGCACAGCAAAGGTGCTTATATCTCATAAGCTTTTTAACATTTATAGCGAACTTAAACTCCGATGTAAATGTATATCTGTCCGTCCAAACATAAAAAAGTACGGAGGGAATTTGCATCCATGTCCCTTAACTTTGAAACTTGGGATTGAAAGTAACAAAAATAATACTTTTACAGTTACTTTAATGATGGCAGACCAAAAACTGATCATCCCAGTCAAAAGTAACTTCAAGACTATTCGATCACCACAGAGTAACTGTAGAATGTCCCCAAATGTTTTTCTTTTTTTTTTTTTTTTCTTTTTTGACAAGCACACAAACAAAAATAGCTAAACAACTTCACCTTACAGCACTACTTATAAAGTGGGACAAAGAGCTGCCTGACTTGAAGCAAAATGTGGCTTTTAGTCGTTCCTAAAAGCCACCCTCTAATCCTAAAACCCGAGTCTGTTTCAAAAAACCAGTCGGTATCTTTCTTTTCTCACCAATCTCAGTCTTTTTGGATCCGATGCCGTTGTAGAGGCGGAGATAGTTGACCTGGCAGTCGCTGTCTCCTAAGTCCAGCAGAGCAAACCGAAAGTGGATCCTCTTTCCACGCGGCACAGTGATCTCCCACTCACACACAGTGTCACTTGGGTGTGTCCTCGGATTGTCCAGAGAGGACAGCGTCCCGCTGCTTGGGCCGAGCACACTGGGGCCGCAGCCATCACCTGCAGGTGATACACACACATTTATATTTGCAAAGCAAAGTGAAAACGAATACATCATTTTAAGATGCCACTTTAACTGCTGCAAGCTTAAAGTTTCCTGTTTTTGAGTTCAGCGATTCTAGTTTTAGTCCATTTTCCTACAAGAGAAGAAAGGAGCAGGGAAAGGACACCTAAGAGGGAATAAAGGAAGGGTGGACAAAAGCACTAATACAAATAGCAGAAAAAGAGAAACGGGGAAGACAGGCTCCAAGGGAAGGAACAAATGAACGAAGAAGCAAGAAGAAGAAAATTAAAGACATTATGGCCTGACACGGAGGGACAACATTTGGACAATGAGACAGAAAATAAGGTGAGGAAATTCCAGTATTTTTCAAGATTCTTGTCTCTCTTTACTGCTCATCTGCATGTGAACAGAAATAAAATCAAATTTCATCAATTTCCCTTTACAGGCAATGTAGAAAACTGGAGACTCCATTATTAGCCCAACAAAGCATTGAATTTTCACATTTTTCCGTCTCTTAAGGTACCTTGGGAAACGACCAACCACAGTCCTGACTTCTAATGCAGCCCTGGCTTCCCCAGAAGCTGTTCAATGGCTAAAAGTTTTCAGACCGATAAAAATCTTCACTGCTTCAGTTTTTATGGCGACGCTTTGCATCATCGTGTCTAAGTTGCAATTCAGACAAAATGCCTCTTTTCCCCCAAAATGAATGAAAACTTACTTAATTGCAAAAACATAGGCTGCACGCTGTGTTTTGGCCAGACACAAATGACCAGTTATCATCCGTTCTGTGATCTCATGGTCTGCCTAGGAGGAAATTGTTAACCAGGAGAGCTAACCTGATAGCACTCTGTCATTTTTATTGGATTAGAAAGGCAAAATGGCTGCTTAAAGTGGCTTGAAATCATTTTTCCTATGGTGAACCATGACTATTTACAAGACATCGCATGTTGTAATCAATTTTCATGAAGGTAGTTTGAATATGTTGTTATGGGAAAGACTGTACAACAATCAACAAATGATCAAACTGCTAAGAAGCTTCAAAGCGTCCATGTGTAAGAACCGTTGCCTAAACAGGATTCAGCTAAAGGATTTGGTTGCCACCAGTGTAGAGCAATGGCAGCATGCTGGTATGATTGCAGTTACGCAGAGTAAGGTAGACAATGCTAGGGAAAGCAGACACAGAAGCTGATCTTCTCAAAGTACAACATCAAGGACAGACTGACTTTCTGCACTAAGTACCAGGACTGAACTGCAGAGGACAAAGGCCAAGTTATTTTTTTTAAAAGTCCCCCCGCCCCCTCGGACTGATTGGGACATCTGGAGGAACTTTGCCAGATGAATCAGAAGCAATACAATGACAAAACAATGCTTTTCCAAGCACAATGCATCACCAGGTAGCTCACATTGACATTTTAGGTTCAAGCCCAGGAAACGTCCCAGATGAATCAAAAACCATCTTCCACCCCATCACTTGTGCAGTTTTGCAAGACACTTAACCCCAAATTGTCCCCCGACCTGCATAGCGCCATAGGAAGTTGTGTTTGTTGTAGGTGCAGCTGGGTGACTTGGACTCCAATGTAAAGGTCCTTTAAGTGGTCCAAATGACTAGAAATGATTAGATTAGCTCAGATAAATCTACTCGCACGAACCTTTAAACCTGGAAGTTTTCCTACATGATTTCCCCTTCAGCTCCTTTATCTTAAGTAATTTCTGGGAAGTTAAAGGTTTGAAGCATTCTGAAACCTGAACACACTCTTTTGTACGTCTACTCATTATCTTATCAACCTGATCCAGCTGCCTAGAGAAACCAGGAGCTTCTGAGAGATAACAGTGCAAATAAACCTTGCACTAGCTCACAAATCTTGACCTCGGTTTTAAGACAAAACAAGAAGTCTCAGTTACACATTTCTGCTCAGAACAAACATACTTTGCTATTGATGAGGTTAAAAGAGACAGATTACACATCCCTACTGTTGCACTCACTACCATGGATGTTCAAGTAAAGAATGTAGTTTGTCTTGATATCTTGAATATTTACTATCACTGCTTACGAAAAGAACAATTCCTAAGAAGTGGCTACAGTGGCTGCGACAGACTGGCGACGTGTCCAGGGCTGTACCCCGCCTCTCGCCTGAAATGTTTGCTGGAGATGGACACCAGCACCCCTCCCAACCCCACTAGGGACAAAGGTGTAAAGAAAATGAATGAATGAATGAATGAATGAATGGATGGATGGATGGATGGATGGATGGATGGATGGATGGATGGATGGATGGATGGATGGATGGATGGATGGATGGATGGATGGATGGATAATTACAGCGGTTTGCAGAAATGCAGCCTCTTAAAACAAACAAAAGAACAAAGAAAACAGTTTCCTAAAATAAAATCTTGCATGTTTTTAACACTCAATCCAGTCATCTCCTTCAGTTTAATTGGTATTCAGAAGGTTTCAGAGTTTCAAGTTTGGAAAACCCCAATAAAACCATCCCAACAAAGTCAGAATTCCTACACAGAAAGTCACCAGGCCACCCCGGCCTCATTATCCAATATATATGAAACACAAGAGCCGCAAAGCTGCAGGAATCTACTGCTTCTGTGCAACTTTTTATGTATGTGAGAGTATATAAATGACAGAATAAAAAGTTAATGTGTTTTTACCCGTTTGCATTTCTAAAAGTATTCAGCCCTCCCACTGGTTTCCTGAACCACAATGAGAACAGATAGATAGTTGTACAGAATTTGGGAACAAATCAATACGTAACCTAGTAGCTATAGAAAACTGTTTATCTTTTAGAAGAAAAAAAACAAACAAAAAATACATTTTGTGTTTCACTGGCATTCAAATGCAAATCTATTAGATCATCATATTGGAGAATCGCAAGTTTACAACCAAGCTTGTTTGTTTAATCATTAAATGTCACGAGGATACCGGTGTCCAAATGGACCCATTGACTTACATTTAAGTGTAAGTCGATGGTTAGGGGTTAATCTACCAGAAAAAAAAAAGCTTGTCTGAAGAGTGGAGTGGAACAACTCAGATAAACCAGTTGTATTTCACTACATTCTTAAAAACTAGTTATAAAAAATATTTCTGCATTTTAAGCCCTGAAAGTTTTCAATCTCATAATCAGACAGATTACGGTTGCTGGTTCCCCACTCTCACTCCGATTCGACAAATGAATGTGCTTAAAAGAGTCAAACCTATTTTGTACCGACAGCAGGATGATGGCCGAAAACCTGAACACCTACAAACAAAACTGAAGAGTTGGTTGGTCCTCAAACAGATGGGAACATTTTTAAAACTTCATGCACACACACTGGGAGGCTACAGTGAAACTGTTGTTGTTACTGACTTGTGTGGTGCTCCATTTACCTCTGAAGTAGATCAGCACAATGCACAGAAATGCAAGTCATCATCGCAATATTGATGCAGCTTATATTACAATTGCAGATGACTGCTTTGATGCAACATTTAGTGGCGCATTACATTTCTAATGAGATGCTTTAATGCTCAGTGTGCCAAAAATATTTCCAGTCAGTTGGACGGACTTTCGCTGCCCTTGATGTCGACTTTGATAAAGCGGCAGAGACTTTGTGGTGATGGGAGAAAGAGAAAGAAATGTGGGTTAAGTGTAACCGGTATTCTTACATTATTCAACAATAATAACAGCCCTATTATGAAGTTGGAAGTTTGACCATTTCCAAGAATGTAATGTTAAGTGATAAGCTCAGCTGCTAGACTGAATACAATTAGCAGTAAAAGGCAAGTTTATTTTTAGAGCACATTTCAGCAACAGGGCAATTCAAAGTGATTTACATGATGAAAACATAAAACATCAGATAAAGCATCCCATTGCAGGCCCAGATCAATAAGCTCCTCCTGCAATATTACCCACATGTTACCCTTTCATACTCATCCACTTAGCTGGGTTGGAATTTTCTCAATGATTAGATACTTTGATAAGTATTGGAGATCGGTACTGGAATTGCAGCAGTGCCGTCTCAGTTTATAATTTAAGAACTTAAATTGCTTTAGGCAGATCACCTATTATTTAGCAAATCCTACTGAGGAAAAACAAGACACCCAGGTACAATGCTAGTAGTGCAAAGCATTAGCTTTAGCTTACAGACTGTTTTGACTGGGCTTTCATTTTAAAACTGTATTACAAAATGTACTGCGAGAGAAGTTGTTATAATCGTTTGAACCTTATCCTGGATTCCTGGCTGTGTGATAAAACTTTGCAGACACACGTCATGGTGCTAAGTGAATATTATGCGAGCCTTGAGTTATGCAAGAGCCCTCTGAGTGGACATTATCCAGATGAGCAGAACAAAAACACGACAATGACTCAGAAATGTTACTGAAAAACTGCAGAGTGAGCTACATCTCACATTACGCTCTGTAACACCAGTAATCTTTCCTGAAGTGATTTAAAACCATCTTTGTGTATATTTAAAAAGTATTGCTAGAGTCAATAAATTAGTGACAAACTGGACACACGTGTTTACCCCCACCCCCAAAGTGTTAGGAAAAGCCAATCCATCCGAGTGTAGTTTAGTTAAACTTGAGTTTGAGTTTAGCTATGCTTTTATTTGGCTTTTTTCCAGTCTTGTGCTTAACACATAATCTCCTCTGTGATGTGCATCAATCATTTAATTTGGTTTATGGCAAAGAAAAGGCCATAAACTTTTTAAATGGCGTCGTTCTTTAAACCGACCTATAAAAAGGCCTAACAAATGGTAAACCTAAACGGTAACCAGTTTATTGGGAGACTAAAATCAGAAACACATTGTTGCTTTGACAGTAAAATCCTTAAACGTCTGCTGTTCATTTGTTATAAACACTCACAAAATGAAAAAATGAAAACGTCAAAATTCAGGAACCGGTTTGCCTGGTTTTTCCCTGAGCAGTTTTCCACCAAAAAAAACAAACAAAAAAAAAACAACAGAAAACACACCAACCTCCACAGTGCGCGGCGTGAAGCAGAGCCCACGTACACACACAGACACACGGCCATGTAAGGCAGGTTTCAGTTAGCTGGACAATAACACTTCCTAAAAGCCCCCCCAACAACACCTTAAACCGGGATGTGTTCGTGTATTTGCGGCCACACTGGCCTCCTCCGGTTATCGCCGCAGCTGTGTGGCACCAACCTTTCTGGCCTCGACAGCCCTCCGCGGTGAAAACGATGAGCACGGACAGGACGAGCACCCCGGCCCCTGTCGGTCCCCTGCCCACCATTACCGCTCTGCCCATAGCAGCCTGCAGTCTGAATGCATACTGCTCGCTTCTGGCCCCAGCTGCTGCTGCTGCTGCTGCACCGCTTCAGCCTGGACGAAAGGAAAAAATAAAAAAAATAAACAATGGAGAAGACCAAATCTTTATCTCCTCTAAAGCGGGTAAGCGCCTGGTTTCCTCCCGTGGATGTGTTTTTGTTTAGTTGAAATTTAATGGTGGTTAGCGACACGCTCGCAGTGGAGGAGGTCACTGCTCTACACACACTCAGCCAATCTGTGGAGATACTTCCTACACACAGACTCCACCTCCGGATCTGGGAATGGGATACCCGAGTCCCCCAAGTGGTCTGAATAATCCCACACAGCCATAAAATGCTAGGGGGATTCTCATCCAGCTGAATGGGGGAAAAAAATTATTGTGTTTAAATAGTTAGACTATCTGGAAAAAAAAAGTATCAGAATTTAAATACAAATATGGCATTCAAATAGCCGGACTATCAAAATGAGCCACTGAGGGAAAATTTAGAAGAAAAACTGATCCTTAAAACGTAACTGAAGTGAAAGAAAATTAATGGATTACGATAGATGAACTATCGTTTTCTAAACTGCATTTAAGCAGCTCCGCATCCCAACAATGTCACTGAAAAAAAGAAACGGTTTAAATATCAATTTTAAAAAGACACAGAAAATAATCAATAGCTAAGCTATCTAATAAAACTTTAAATTGAAAAATTGTATTTAAATACCTAGACTGTCTAAAATAATTGAAAATTAAGGGGAATATTGTAGTAGTTGAATCATATTTAAAAATATTTAAGTATGAAACAATGCAAGAACTTATACTTGAGTAAAAGTCCTTAAGTATAAGACTTATACTTAAGTATAAGTCCTTTAGATGATAGATTTCACTTTTTATTTTCTTTAAAAATGTTTCTCAGTGACCCCACCCCCACTTCAAATTATTTAACCTTTAAAGCAATCCTTAAAGATAAATCACACTCGGAACTGATTGTTATGACAAAGTAACCCAGTTTGTTTTGTCACAACAACCACAGAATACATTTTATTTTAATGGAAGTTTTTCATCACGATGCTTATAAACTACAAGAAAAACAATATTTTTTTTTCCCTCCAGGAAAAGTCTGTGCATTTCCATTCAATGGTACCACTCAATGGATTTGAGCACCATATGGTTGAGGGGTGTTCAAACTTTGGGAAATTATTTTGTAACCTTACACCTGTTGTTCTTTTGGTTTATATGATGCTAATTGTTCACTAATATCCTAAAGCAAACTTCAAATGCCTTTTCAGAACAACTGTATCTACATTGACATCAAGTTACACACAGGTAAGTGGACTATTTAGGAAATTTTTGAAGGCAGGTGGTTGCATTAAGTTTTATTTAGGTGTATCAGAGTTTAGTAGGCTGCACTCTTCAGATTGTATTTGTAAAACAGTCTAAAAACGATGTATCCTTTTCCATTAAGGAACTACTGTTCCTTTTATCGGTGTTCCATTTTAACTGGAGCGCTCCTATTTCCGACTTCCGTGGTAAATGGAACGCAGCAATACAACCCAGACATAGAAAATACAGTAATCTAAATTAACAGATATAAACATTTCAGTTTAATAGATGTACGTATAGTACACGAAAACTGTAGACAGCATTTCTCTCTAATATTATTTTATTTTTTAGACAGCTGCCTGGTAGTCGCTGGCTCGTCTTGCTGCTACAAACTACAAACGCTCCCATCATGCTTTGCTCTGCCAAGACGTCAGGTCAGCTGACCGTTGCTGTTGTAGGAGAAAGATGTCGGTGACGACCTGCCGAACGATGAAAGCTGGTTTCACCTTTGCGTTTGCTCTCTGTTGCCTAGCTTTAGCAGGTAAGAAGTGCCCAACGCTAAACAATCGACACTCATAGTTTCACAAACCTCCTTCGTTGTATTTCTAACGCCGCGGCCTCATGTGTGGCCTCAATATTCATCTGACAAGTCGCTACTCAGCCCAGGAACATTTTTAGGATGGTCATTTAGCTTTTTTTCTGTTATTCCCGTGTTTTGCTTCATCTCTCAATGATAATCAGAAAAGTAATCCATCTAAATACCAGTGCTTTTGGAAAACTATTCAGCTCCGTCTTCATGAAACTGATCGAATAGCTTAACACAACTCTTGCTTTTTGCTAGTCGTTATGCTAGCGTTAAGGTTAAATGTGCCATTTACTCTTTAAGATTACAATTATATCCAATGAAAATGTTTATAATAACGTGGTGTCTAGTTTCTCTTTATTAATTATTTGCCTGTGCTGTCATGTGACACTGTTCTGGGCTACTGGTTCCTCTTTAACTTCCATCTTTGCTGCTGCTCCATGTCACGAGTGTATTTCTCCATCCACGGAGCTGTTAGCGTTGTTGCCAAGATTTCACATTCTCTTTGGTCTGCAAATGAGGCTACTATTCTGCTGTGATTTATTTTTACGTAAAATCTGTGCACGTAGTGCAGTCATAAAACTATTACAAGGCATAGTAATTTTAAATGGAGCATTAAATATCATTGTGAGAGCTTTGTAGCATATTGGTAGGGATACAAGTAGTTAAAATTGAACATCAGGTTTTGCAAAGTTTCTTTTAAAACGTGTCTTGCTTTGCTTGGGCTGACAAGAATCTCCGCTCTTCTTCAGGTGTCCATGGAGACAGCTTCACGGTCCTTCAGGCTCCAGAGTTTGTGTCGTTCCAGAAAGGAGAGTGGCCGGTTTCTGGAGAGAAAGTCCCTGATGTGGTGGCTTTGACTATGGGCTTCTCTATTCAAGAGGTATCTTATTTGCAGTAAAGAAAAAAAAAATAACTGTTGAGCTTTGTTTTTATAGATGCATCTTGAGAGCACTATGTTGATAGCCTAAAAAACGCAATATGTTTTTGTTTGCCCAGGACTTGCTGTGGCCTGGCCTGCAGGCTGGTCCGTTGTTCCAGCGTCCCCGGGCTAATGTGTTGGTGGTGGTGAGAGGAGTCGACAGCCTGGCTTTTCCTCAGACTGTGGCTTCCTACCCCCTGGAAAATGTGAGTCAAGCAATTCTTGGAAGTAAGTAGATTAAAATCTACAGTATAATGAGAATACGTTTGCTCAGTGTGCTGCTGGCTTCTCCTCTCTCAGCCAGTACCCTTCACCCTGGACAGCGTTGCAGAGACGGTCCACTCTTTGTTTTCCGAATACACCCCCGTAGTGCTACAACTGGCTCCAAGTGAGGAGGTAAAAAATAAAAAATCAGCTTGCACAGAACAGGGAACAATAAGTACCTTTAAATATGTTTATTTATTTTTCTATATCTTTACCTAATGTTTTGTCCCCTGCAGCGACTGTATATGCTTGGCAAGGCCAATGCTGTGTTTGAGGACCTTCCGGTCACCTTGCAGCAGATCCGCGCACGCCTATCCCAGGATGGCTCTGTGCTGACTTCTCTTCCCCTCAACTCCCTAAGCAGAAATTCAGAAGTTGGTGTCTAACATTTGCAGTACATGTTAGCTACATCTTCTGTAAAAAAACAAAAAAAAAATCTATAAGAATTATTCGAACCACGGCTGAAACGATTAATCATGATAAATTGATTGTTAAAATAACTGTCAACTACTTTAGTAATTAATTCATCTTTAACTGGAGAATACTTACTCAAAAAAAGGTAATTTGCTGAAAGAACAACGTGCTCAGAAGAGTAAGTCAAAACTTTTATACAGTCTGTATAAAAATCTTGATGTTTTCCACCCAGAAATTCTCAAGTGCCATGATTTTAGCTTCAGCTGGTTCAAATTCAGTTAAAAAAAAGATTCCTATTAGGCACTTTTTGCTATCTAATTATTAACCAGTTAATCCAAACACCAAATGATCAAGCATTCACTAAAGGAATGCTATGCTGCTGCATATTAAGCAAAAAAAAGTGTATATATATAAATATATATATATATATATATATATATATATATATATATATATATATATATTTATATTTTTTTTTTTTTTTTAAAAGAAGTAGGATTATTGGTACATTTGCATCTGCTATTGTATTTCTGAAATTTTCTAAAAGCGCTTACATGGTTAAATACAAAAACTACAGAATGTTCACATTTTTTTATTGGAATAATCCATTACTAAAATGATCATTAGCTGCAGCCCTAATTTGAACCTGAAAAAGACTTTGTCTGTATGATTAGGTTATGGAGTGAAGTTTGGTTTAAAACCTTTCTACTTATTTTGGTCCTAGGCTGACTTACTCTTCCTGTCTGAGGTTCAAGTACTGCACGATATCACCGCTCTGGTAAGCTGCCCCAGATGTCGCAGACCTCTCTTTTTTTTTCCCATCGTAGAAAGGAAACTGGTGAATCAGGTTTGAATCATATCTTCTCCTCTCGCAGCTCCAGAGGCATAGACATCTGGCCAAGGACTTCTCCCCTGACCTGTACTCTCTGGAGCTGTCCGGCTTGGAGGAGCTGAGTCGTCTTTATGGCAAAGACTCTCCTCAGTACCGCGACGCCACGGCCATTCTTGCTTCTGTCCTCCAGAAGGTGACGGGGAGATCTGAGGCAGTAAAACAACTGTCAACATTATCTTTAATTTACCTCGGTTTTAACCATGTCCTTACTTTTTCTTACAGTTTGGAGAGGACATGTATCGACTCTATGGCAACAGGGCTGTGGTGGAGGTTGTTACTGTGAAAACCTTTGAAGCTCCTTTGACCAGAAAGTCTCGCTCAATCTTGGAATCTAAACAGATTGTAAGTCTGAAAGGATCCTGTGTTACTTCTAATAAGCTGTGGCCGCAGAGAGAGAGAGAGAGTATAATTTTACACTGTATAATTTTACACGGAACAGAGGCCTTTAACACTTAGTTTTAAGAAATCCATTTTTTGTTTATGAAACTGAAAAAGTTGCTTCTTGCAACTTTTTCAGTGCTTTTGTATCACAATTACATTAAATTAAGAGAAGCTGGAAAACCTCAGTAGGTCAAACCTGGACTTAGTTATTCTGCTACAGTAAGAATAATCAAAACAGTTTATGATTTTTGAAATTTTTAGTTCATATAAAATCTAAAGGAATTGCTAATTTTCCCTAAATTGTTGATAACGTATGAGGGTTGTCTTGTGAGCTCATAACCTTGAGCACACCCTATTTAAATTAAAGCCATTCCTCCTTTTTTAAATTCAGTTTCCAGAGTTCATCTGATGCAGCATTTTGTGAAATTTTAATCACTTTTCGATCTTATCAGTTAATATGTAAGCAGTTTTTATTGCCAGTAAGATGCATCATTATCATTTTATGAACCAGCCAGATGCTTGTTTAGGTTTACAAGGGCGTGTCACCAGGTTGGTCTTAGTGGCCATTTTTGTGCATCCAGTCAGGATTAACATATGCAGCCTGAATAATTTTGTCCCATAATAGAATATATAATGAAGATGTGTTGTAATTGTTTAGTTTGCCCACCTGTGAGTGTTGCGGCTTAAACACAAATTGAATATTACGATCATTATATGAGTGGAGGTAGATTGTTTTGTCAGACTGCATCTCTACCTAGTAAACGCTACATAACCAACTGAACTGAATTAGATAAATGTGTCTACATACGCTTTGTGTTTCACTTATTTGACTGGGTTGAATATTTCCAGAGTAACCCGGGCAGCCCCTACAACCTGGCCTACAAGTACAACTTTCAGTACGCTGTGATCTTCAACATCGTCCTGTGGCTGATGATCGCTCTGGCCCTCGCGGTCATCGTCATCGCTTACAACCTGTGGAACATGGACCCGGGATATGACAGCATCATCTACAGGATGACCAATCAGAAGATCAGGATGGATTAAGTCCCGCCATCGCCACCCCTGCTGCGTCTTTACAGTTCTCTTGGTGAATATTTTGTGTTTGTGTTGATGTCTTGTGTTGTAACTGTATCTGTGAAAGTTCGGTGGGAGGAAGAGCACAACACTGAATTGTTTTTGAGTTTACAGCAGATATGAAATGCTGACATTAATTGATATCCGATTAAAATCATGGCAGCATTAAACTGGTGCCCATTCAGCCAGTCTTTAGCAATATCGTCCCAAGGAGTGTACACTGAACAAATATTGCCTTCCTCCTTTCAGCTTCACAGCTCCAACCATTCCTTCCTTTAACTTCAAACATTTTTCTCACTGGTGATTGCAAGTCCATTTTTATTGTAAAAAAAAAAAAAAAACGTTATGGAGAAAGTAGATTTCTCTTTGTTTTTTTGCTGTATGGAACTGTCAAAGGTTTAAGTTAAAGAAAAATCTATGTGTATATATTGAATATACGAATATATGAGAAAGTATGGTGTTCTTGTTTTGCTGTGCTTCTTCTTCAAATAACAGGTATTTGTTGGACTGTGTAGAAACTTGATCCTGATGTTTGCCATCATAATTAAAATGGCATAAAAGAAGCTCTGTAAACTGCAATAAATGCTTAACAATAAATTATTACATGTATTGTGCTAGTTTGAACTTATTGTAGCAGGTTAACCTGTGACAGGAGTAAAAAATAATAAATCAGAGCTGTTATTTCATTTTTACATTTCTTATTGATGCAGCAGTTTTAGGTGTTTGAGAAAATGGAACATATTTTTAATCGCCTGACATCTGCAGAGAAATTAAGATCAAAATCAATATATTAGAATTTAACTGAAAAACAATTAAACTCAGATTTATTACACAGTTTTTTTTATTTTGGTGACTGCTTTACAGCTGATGAATTAGAATACCACATACAACTGAAATTGATTTAATGTGGAAATGTTAACTTGTTCATAAGTTGGACAATATGTTTGAGGTACTTTTAGTATAAGTCACTGCAACAATACAGCGCGGATGGAAACCATCAGCGTGCGTCCATTCTTGGGTGTAAAGGAAGCCACATAACTTTACCAGCAGTTTCAACTCGTCTCTATTTTTGAGATGGACGTCACTCATCTTCACATTGACACAGATTTTCTACCACAGTGATGCTAAGCAAATGTAAAAGTAAGTATTGCTACATTCAGCAGTGTGGATAGGCTCCAAGTTCTGATGAGAAAGGAGCAATATTTCCATAAAGCTTGTAAGCAGAAGGAAACATGGAGTGCTCTGAAATGTCCTGGTAGATGCCTGCTGTGACTTTCATCTTCTAAAACTCAGTGGATCATTTCAAGCTCTAACATGGCTCCTCAAATTATCAATGTGGAAACTCCCACTGGAACTAAACCAATTCAGTTTCTGTGCTCCTTCTCTCTCATCCTCTAGATTTTCTCCCAGACTATTTGAGAGACCCGCAATCATTGTCCGATTTTAAAACTGGCTTGAAAACTTTCCTCTTTAGACAAGCCTTCTCCACTTTTATTTGACAGTCTTTTTTTAATTGTTTTTGATTGTTAATTTTATGTTTTTAGATTAACCATGTAGCACTTTGAGATTTTTATTAATGAAAAGTGCATTATAAATTCAATTTATTATTATTATTATTATTAGATTCTGTGACTTTTATTTTTAAATTAAATGCAAAATGTACTTTGGAATGCTGAGCATGTCAAGTCCATTTTCCATTCATGCCCAGGTAAAACTATTTTGAAGTTGCCTCTGGTTCAGGGGTAACTTAACACAAAGAATTAGACAGTTGCAATTAGACAGTAAAAGAAAAAAAAAAAAGTCACTACCTCATTTTTTGCCGGTATCACTCTTTGAACAACTGTAAGGAGTACCAATTAAGTTTTTTTTTTTTAAATAATCTTCTAGATTTTTAGATGCACTAGATAAATGTAGAACATGTAGATGTTGTTAACATTGTGTAACAGTTTATATGACTCCCCACAGAGTCCAGGGCTCATCAATCCCGATTATGCGTCCTTGTATTACGAGTGTATCTCTTTAAATAGCATTGTTGTGTATGACGTTGCGTAACGGCTCAGCCAATCACAATCATATTGGATTTATTAAGTTCCGCCTCTAGTGTTATTCTCAGTCTATAATTGGTTGTATTTCTTCTATGAAGCGCCAGTATTTATATTGACACATTCAGGAAGACGAAATCGCAAAACAGCTGAACTGAAAGAGGATAAACAAGTCTGACAACTGCGACTCTGAAGTTCATCGAAACTGCAGAGTACAACACCAAAGACTAATGGTCTGACTGCTGGTAAAAGGTAATTAAAAAAAAAAATATTCGTGAATAAATGAATGACCACGCCCGGAAGATAAGCAGCTTTCTGTTTACAATTTTTCCTTGGCACCAAGATTTACGTTTAGAAGCTTTTTTTTTTTTAGAAGCTAAAATACGTTTAAATTCTTTACAATTCGATTTTGTGTATTTAATATGGTTTAGAATTTGATTAAGTGAAATAAGTTATCGCGTTTTGACGTTGGATTTTCGTGCTGGTAATACTTGTCTCCTCGGACAATAAAACAAGGAAGTCCCCTCCTTTATCAGTTCTCGGATGTTAATATGTTTCTGCTCCCAGTTTGATTTTTCTGCCCTTTGTAAGCCTGATTTGCGCGGTCTAATCGCATTTTTTTTCGACCGTATTAAAGGCTCAATTTAAATGGTTTGTTTACAAACAGCTTAATTATATGGTTTGAATTTAACTTAACATATTTTTTCCATTGTGGAGAACAAATATGGAATTACTCAGCTTTTCTCTGTCATATTGTAACCCGAGCACTGGGAGTACCAGTGTGTTTCCTTGTTGGTTAACTTGTTTATTGAAGTAAGGTGTAGAAATTTTTTGAAAAAAATAAAATAAAATAAAGAATCTCACTGACCTAAACTGAGTTAAATAGGTATAAACTGTGAGCAAAATTTTCATAAAAAAAAAAGTAAGCCCTGGAGACCTTGCTGACATTTATTGTATGTTTAAATTACTATTTAAAAAAAATGCGTATTTGTACTTCTGACATTGTAGCTTGCGCCTACGTGGTGAGGAAGATCAGGGCTTCTGGTTCTGAGGGAGAGCAGGAAGAGAAACCCATCCGTACACCATGTAGTGCAAAAGGTAAGAAACTGACGTCAAAGCTGATTTTCTGTATCCTTAAACTGAGCCTTCAAAGAAGGCAATAATTTTTTAAATCCTAATCTTAAATGGGCCACTTGTTTAACACCCTGTCTTATGTGCATATGTTTGAGAAAAAAATATTTTTCTTTGCTATGTTTATCTGTCGTGACATGTCACATCTCGCTTGTTTTTCACTTGTAGCTCAAAGCAAAAAGGAGCGAAGATCAAAGTCTTCCTCAACTGCCGCCCTGAACCCGGGACACGATGAAGGAGCCAACGACGGCGCAGTGGCAGCAGCAGGGACGTCCTCCGGGCCACCTGCGCAGAACTGTGGCTCCTGACGTTAAATTCCTGACTGGATGCTGGAGCTGTGGTCAACTCACTCTCAAAAGATAATTTACATATTGGAAATTATGTTGGACGTTTCACTGCGATGAAATGACCACATGAATTGGATGGCTGGTGTTGTTTTTGACACAAATCTATAAACCGAGTACTAAAAGTCTTCATTTGAACACTTTCCAGTTTTGCACAGTTTCCGGTGTCCAGGTCAGAATGTCCCATAAAACGGCCTTTTTCACAGCAGATGCTTTGACACCTCCTGAAAACAAGTGCAATTAGTAACGTTGGTCGTGGGAATTTTCCTTTTGTTGTGCTCAGGTGCAACAGAATATAATGAGGGCATTCATGTTGGTTAGAACTGATAGAGCATGTGGGTAGTTAATGTATTTCCTGTGAAAGAGGCCTACATTCATGTACTGCAGCGTTTGACAGCTGGCTCACCAACCTCTGCACCCAGAGACTGAGCAGGCCTGATGTTCCTGCTGTTACACCAGTAAACATAATTATGTTAAAAAGCTCTGTTCAGGTATTTATACCTGTATAATAGACTTATGCACTATATATTCATGTCAGAATAGGTAATATGCTCATCATTGGATAAATTAAATGAAGTAATTGAACTAATATTAAAGTTAACTTTTACAGATGTGTTTATTTGTATATCTGTTATGAAATTGTTATAAGGTTACATTTGCAATGAATTTGTAACTGCATTGTCATACATTGTGTTATGCATTTAATTTCTTACAGCTAATTTTGAAAATAAAAGAGTGCAAAGTCTGTTCTCTTGGCTTGTTTGATATGACGCATGCCACAGCGCAGAGATGGTCGCTGAACACCGTGCTAGCAAACAACCACCAACGGCTCCAAAAGCAGACATAAATGAGAGATGATCAAAAACGGTGTGCCGGTCTTGAGATGCAAGATTGCACCATGACCCTGTCACCTGATCCTGAAATAGGTGAGATAAAAAGCATGGGTAACCACCAAAGCCACTCTGATTTAAAAAGAAGAAGAAAAAAGAAAGGTTGCTGGTTTGTCACGCCAGCTGTCTTCATTTTTTTTAATTTTTTTTTTATCTGCATTACAGATAACAAAAAAAAACTGTACTGCAATATAATTACATGCTTGGTCTAAATTAAACATATTTCACTTAGACAAAATGGAAAAGAAAATCACATTGTTCTCGTTTGTATGCATTTACTTGATGAGTATTTTGAGACTTAAGTTATCCTTCTCACTTTGATCTTTTTACCAGAACTTCAACACAACTATAATGTAGATACTTTATAGTTGCACTCTAATTAGTTTGCCTTTATATTCTAGATTGGATGTTGAGAAACTTTATTTTTAGCTGCTTAGATATAATCCCTGCAATGCATACAAGGCACTGAGTAGCACATATCAAAAATAACAACCATGTTAGATAGAGAGGTATACTAAAACCTGGATTTGTTTTATGCTGTCGTTATATAGAGTGCAATGAAAAATAGCGATACCTTGAAGTCTATTCTTGCACAATTGATTAGATTTTTTTAAGAAAAGATCTAAAATTCATTTTTAAATTATGAATAATATTTTGTATGTTTGTTAATAAGTTTTCTTTTCTTTCAGTGCAATGCTTTTTGTGTATTTATTTTTATGTCAGTCGTTAAAAAAAGATCTTATGATGTAGGAATAATACCTTTATTTTATTTTCTTCACGAATAAACAGCATTATGAAGAACAAAAAAAACACAGGATAGGAATAAAGTTCTCAAGAAGTTTAAAGCATTGTTTAAAGGTTGTGCACAATATAGCTATACAAATATGCACTGCACTTTTGAGATTTTTAGTTGCTAAAATATTTGATAATCAAATATTCTTTTCTTTCGCTTCAATATTACGCAAAGCTGTTTTACCACTGTATGGCCAGGAGGGGGCAGTAGAGCTTTCTTTGGACACCAAATCAATATGGTGGTCCTTGACCCCCCCGACTCAGTTCCCCTTTCTGGAGCGACTTAACGCCACTGATAGCTATTTTATTTGGGTTAATTCATTCATTAATTCATTCGTTTATTTATTATCATTAATATTATGGGCTGGTGAATAGTTTTGCTTTCTGGACACAAACCTTTTCGGAATATTTTTCTGGGTGCACTTCCTCCTTTCACCGGATGTTGCTGCAGGAACCAGAAACGCCTGTTGAGTGCAAGAGTCTAGCCCTTTGGAGAGGATGAGTGCCGTCTTTTCAAGGAAGGTGCGACAGCAAAACACTGTTGAAAAGCTTTTCTCTCCATTCTACTGATATAAAGAGAGGCTATCAGAGGAGGCCCTGGCTTGCAGGGTAAGTTTTGTCTCTACTGCAGTTAGCAGCGTGGACAACGTTTAGCATGAACGCGGCAAGCTACGTCTGCTAGTGGTAGCTTCGAAGAAAAATACACTTTCTGTAGTTTAGCTGTGTAGAAAATAAACTATAAAGCACATCACGTAATAGCTGCGAACGTGTGCACGACTTAAACACGGACGGCCGGTTTTTAAAAAATGTGACACACGTGTTAACTGTGCAACAAAAACATGGGCTCCAATGACAAAAGGAACGTTGAGTTTCCTGGCTAATTTTTCATACCATGAGATACCAAGTAAGCTGATCATTTCAGATCAGCTTTATTGCTTTTGATGGTTTCCCATATATTCCCGTCCTAGGTTTAACGGTGTTTTACATATTTGTATTCATCACATAGGTTTTCATCATACCCTTCTTTACTGAAGTTGTTTACGTTCATGTTTTTTGGCCATTGTAATCTCAAGACAAGTAGATCGTAGCATAATTTTCGTATTTTTCTAAATCAAGCATAAGTGTCTTGAACCATAAAACCAGGCCCACATAAAATGAAGAACTAGGAAACTTTCACAGGCCTTGTTTTAGGTCACTGAGAAGATTTGGTTAAGAGTAAATGTATCATAATTTCACGTTGACTCAATAGTGTCAATCTTAACACCCTTTTTTTCAGAATGAGATCAATTTACACTGGTCTTTTACTGAAGAAAAAAAGAGGAGCTTTCTCTTTATCATCATCTAAATCATCTTTTTTAGTTTTTGCCATGTTATAATGCCTTCCCTCATGAAAGACCTTTCCAAAGTGTTGTATTGACTCTTTCATGGGTAGAAACACGTATTTTACAAGACACACATGTAAAGTGTGTCTAAGATCAGTGTTACATGGAGCACCTGCAACTCTAAACTGAACAAATTGTTCAGTAGATAAGAGATACTGTGATCAATGTCTGTGGGCGTTGCCATGTTGAAATCCCAACTGGAACTTGGTTATCTCGGGTGTGACACCAAACCCAGCTCCGATTTCCGAAGTAACGTCCGACCCAGCATCACCCCACCTTCCCCTGCGCCTTCCCCACACAGCTCCACCTGACTAGCGGCAGCAGCAATTAGCAAACACCTGGTGGAAATCCACATCTCCTGAGCTTAACAACTAAACTACCAAGCTCCTAACAACGTTTAACGGCATGAAGAATCATTGTTGTGATGACATGAGGAGGGAGTGTTAGTAAGGGAAGGAGGTGAATTTCTAGCCATCAGATGTGGCTATGATGCAAAGTCAAACTTCTTTTAAGTTATGGTTGATAACTTGCAACATAACAACTGAAAGTAACATAGATTGATGATAGTGATATAAAATTGTACTATATGCCTGGGAAATACGTAACACCGTTCCAGTATAGAGTATTATTGTTTAAAAGGAGTAGCATCTTTGTCTAATCCAGATGAGAAATAACCAATTGTTCACAGAAGATGCACATGACCTTCAGATAAAATTTAGACCTTTTTAAAGCCTCCAATTGTTTTTCAAAAAAAAAAAAAAAAAAGACTGTGACAAATTGTCTTTCCATTTCATGTCTTGTAGTCTTTTGGAAAAAAATAACTTGAGCTCGTCAATATCAGGATTGACTGGTCAGATCCTAAAGAAAACTAGAAATCTTTATCCTGAAGAGAAAAAAAAACTGATCAGTACAGTACATCTCTACATATTTGTGTTTATCTAGTTTTCATAGTAGAATGTAGAAATAAAGTGCCAAGACAGAGAAAACTTGTAGGTACAAAACTTTCTCTCTAGAAATGTATAAATAATGTCGTCCAGGATGTTGAATTAAGGCATTTGTTCAAACACACATAAAGAAGATATCCTGTCACTTGTATTAAATTGGAAATTTATCATTACTTGGCATACTTAATTGTATTTAATATTATAATTGCACTGGATAAGTCACAAGACTTGCATTTAAAGAAACTGTAACAGAGTCAAATATAATAATTGAGAAACAAACTGAATATCTTTGGCATAGATTAGATTGGTAAATGATTATGTATTTTATTCTAACTGTTCTCAAGTCAGATTACAGCTTGATTATTGTAAGTTTAACTACTACATCTTCATTTATATTCACTCTTTTCTTGCAAATTATATTATGGACTTAAGCATATCACCTGCGGATTGTTTAATATAAGTCGACTTGAACAGAGGAAATATGTGCATAGAAAATAAAGTTTCCCTCAATTCTCCACCTCAAACTCTCTCTTTGAACTTTTTATTGTCTTCATGTATATTTTTACTTTTAGGGAGAATGAATGAATGAATCAGATCACTGGCAAAAGCCAAAAAGTAAAAAAAAAAAAAATCTGATTTTGATCATATTGAGAATCACTGCATATCTAATTATACTGTTCTATGTTCGCCAGAGGACAGGCTTATTTACTATGTCCTTTACGTGTGTCTTGCAGTGCCTTATGAAATCTTGAACGATGATGGAGCGAAGAAGAGCCTTAACTATTCCATTTGTTGACAAGGAGAAGCTGGTATTTGTTAAATTAGTTGTTGATTTTCAGTTTATTTAGTTGCATGTTACGTGTATCTGAATCAGAATGTCCTGCTGGCCTGTTATGTGGCTATGTTGTCTTATTGTATGTAAACAGTTTGTGTCTTTACAAAGCCAAGATTATTTCTGTCATCTCGTTAGGTTTGTCAGTGTGCTGTTTGGAAAAAAGAAAAACTTAAAAACATTACATTCCTCAAAATAAAATATGGAAAGAATTTTGCTCTTAACTCAAGAACTGTATATTTCCAGAATGACAAAATTAATTAGAATTAAGCTGATATTTATGTATTTAAAATTTAAAATCTATGAATATTCAGAAGAAAACTCATCAAATATGAGACTGGATTGTAAATAATTGAAAATAAGTCTCAGTTCAGTCAGAGGAGAACTCTAAAGAAAAAAAAAATCATTATACCCATAAGTTAAAATACAGGAAACCATGATTTGAATAGTATTTTTTAAATGCTTATATTGTTGTTGTTGTTTTTTTTTTTTTCTACTTTGTTTGGGAGATTTTAATTTAGACTTTCACAATAAATTCACAAAAATATTGTGACGATATTATACTGTTAAATTTGGGCTTCACATGGAGGCAGCTAATCCTTCCAACACGAGAAAAAAATGAGAAAATGTAGAAGACAGTCTGTCTTGAAAATCAAATTAAGCAGTATTTGTATGTCGCATCATCATCCTGATCAGGAATGGATGAGGATGATGATGGTGCATTTGTCCGCTGCTGTTGTGACTAGAGTGTTTTTCATCTAGTTTGTACGTGTTGCACATTTACTCTTTACGTCATTTTGCCGCTTGAGGTGAAATGTTTGTTCAATCTCATTTTTATCATTTATATTTCATTTTACGTGTTCGCTTTTTTTTTTACCTTTTTGTTTTTTTACTAAAACACTTTTTAACTCTGCTTCTGCATGCGACTACTTAAAACTTTCTTAACTAATCACTGTCTGCATTTCAGATGGAAAACCCCCTGAAAATACCCGTGGCGTGCCTGTCATCAGAGTGCGGAAAGTTAGAAGTGCAGGTACAACAACGCTGCGATTTCTCCGACCACTTCAACATGTTTTATTATTGATAGTGGTCAGGAATATTTCATATTTTTTCTCCTCCTCTTAACAGGTCCCCTGGACTGCATTTGCTGATTGTAATTTTAATTCTTGTAATTCAAGTCACAGAAAAGGGGCCAAGATGTTCAATCACACCGTTTTAAAATGTTCGGACATTCTGAGGTAAACAAGCTACAGAAGTGATATTATAGTTGATTTTAAGTTTTTTTTAAAAGGAAAATTGGATATGCCTACTCTGAAAGATTTCCCTGTTGTATATTTAATATAGTTAATTTTAACAGAAGTTTTGCACAAGCTGTGAAGAAAAAAGAAGAAAGGGTCTCTGTTCAGATGAGATTTGTTCAAGGAGTTTGCTAATTTTAGCAAACTCCTTTGCAAGTATATATATATATATATATATATATATATATATATATATATATATTCTAATAATCATACTTTCGTTAATCAATCATTGCCTTTTCAAGTTTGAAAATAAATAAAATATTGGATGATGATTTTCAACTTTAAGTTGGGTTAGTTGAAGGAAACATTGTTTCTAAACAACATGACTTCAATGCCATGTTATCATGACAACCCACATGGCTTATCTGCGTTTCTCAGTCCCTCCCCGTCCTTTCAGCTGGTACAAGTAAGGTTCTGTCTGCCGTAAAGTTGAGCTTAAGCTTGAAAATGTTGATGAGCCGCAATGTTGAAGGTGAAAGTTGTTGGAAAACAATTCACTTTTGTGTCCTTTAGGAGGAAGCCACGTCTTATCCTAACAGACGTCTTGAAGACAGAACCGGGTAAGGATTATATAGAGAGGATAAAAATGAGTAGAAACAACAGACAGTGGTCCAGTCCTCGAATGGATAATGGCCGACGCAAAGAGGAAGATGTCCGCTGCAGAGAAACGAGGTCCAGTCAGACGGATGACAAGAGCAAGAATGTAACCGATAAAGGCAAACGGAGGACCTCCACCTCTCAGAAGTACGCTGACGTTTTTAAAATTACCTCGAATGTTTCTAACTTCGGTTCGAGGGCAAGAATCACATTGTTAATCCACATATTCGTCAATTAATTTTACCATTTTGTAATAACTTACTTCCTCTTTGTCACTATGGAAAAAAAAATCGTACCCATGAACTTAATAGTTTATACTTTTGGAATTTAGATATTTTGGGTGAATTATGGAGACAAATAATCATTAATCTTGTGTATATTTTAATACAAGTCTGTATTTATTGTTAAATATTTAATATTACACTCCATATATTATTGATTTTGGTTCTTGTTTTTATCACTTGACGAAATGAAACCTGATCAAACCAGATATAACTCTTAAGCAGTCCTGTGCTGCTGCTTGCCATTTATTTAAGGTAAAAAATAAAATAAAATAAAAAAACTCATAAAATCCTCAGTTTTCTCTGTGGGTGAGAACTGACACATGATCTGTGTGAAATGCCTCATGGCTCACATCTGCTTTTTGAAACAACTCAAATTGTTTCGTTTCTTCTTTGTTTCGCTGTTAGTTAATGCAGATGTTCAGCAGCATCGTGATGTTTCATAAGGAAATGTCAAGTTTGTATTTGTTCCCCGAGTAAATATTTTCATTTTAAGATCATTTCATGTTTGGTCTATGCTAAGCATGGGTAGAATGGAGTTTTCCACAACACACTTTTTTTCAGAGGAGTTTATTTCACCATTTGGTACAAAATGTATGGAAACAACAACAAAAGAAAATAACAATGATTGGAATTTTGAGATTCTAAAACATACTTTTTTTTTTTGCACAAAAATGGACAACAAAAGAGGGAATTAGTCTTTATTCCCTAAAGTGGTTCATTTTTTTTAGTCATAAGTTTGTGGTAACTTTTAAATAGACTTTGGTTGTAATGTGGTGGATAAAATGTGCTGAGGATAATTCTGGGTGTTTTTATCTTTATAGACCAACAACTAGAATCAGAAAACCACAAAACACTGAAGAGGAAGCCAACGAAGAAAACCAAGATATCAAAGAAGTGATAATCGGCAAAGTCAATGAAAAGAAAGATGAGACGTTTGCGGAGGTTGTAGGTGGGTCTTCATTATCTGTGTTATGTTAACAGTGTGTAGATTTCAAATTTTCATTGTGAAGTGTAGCCCTTAAAATTCCCTACCCTTCCTTGTTGGTTACTGCTGAAATAAATTCTTAACAAGAGAAACTCACGGTCTGCTGGGCTACAAAAGCAACTTAGTGGGATAATGAGGGTTTCAACATTGAAGCTTTTTCCAGCTTCATAAATGTAGGTCATTTAAGCTGTCTGCATGAACTGTGAAACGTAAAACGTGAACAAAATTACAGATGTCAAAGGATATTTTACTTCCAAGAAGATTTTGTTCTGACATTATAAAACATTGTTAAAGGAGCATCATATTTGAAATAATATATATTTTCTGATATATCAACAAAAAAAAACTTGTTTAAAATGATCCATACCTTTCTCAATAATCAATTAAAACATCTTTATTGGCTTCAGCATTTAAACACCTTATAACTGCTGAGCAGCTTTTTGATATTTACACTGGCATTTTAACTGTCATAATGAGCTTCCTCTGGGGTTATGGGTAAGTTTGGATTTGATGCCTCTAGTTTTGGGTTCTGTTTTTATCCAAGCAGTTATAGGTGAAAGCCACTGTCAGGTTTATTAGGCATTTTGTGTAAGAATAGAGCAGAAAACTGCAACACAGGGGACAATGTGTTGCTCCATTGTTGTTTTGTTTTTTGTTTTATTTTTTATTAAAGGACAGAAGAAATGCAAACATATTTACAAGACGGTGAGAACTAGCTCTTCGGCAAGTCACTGTGAGAGACCGACATCAAGCCGTTTCCAGACAAAGCCTATAAGCGTTATAGGAAGTAACCTAGCCATAAGCTTGACACAATCATGAAACGTTCGATTGCAGTAAAATTTTTCACTACAGTTCATATTTCTGCCCCTTTTTCCATCTCTTTCACAGAAACAGAAATAAGTAGTAGCTTCCTTTAGAATATCTTTGTTAACAAAGAACGCGAGAGAAGAGAGATCAGGAAAACGCAAAGCTGTTTATACTGGCCTCATGTGGGTAGGATGCAAATTTTTTGCAAATATTCCATGTTTGTTGGTGCGGCTTTCCCTTTATGGCGCCAAGCAGCTCAGTGAAAACATGTGTTCAGATAAAATTATTGAAAGGTAAGCAAAAGGGAAGACCTCGTTAAAAAGGCAGGTGCAAGAACTTCAGTTATCTGGACCTGGTTTGGGTTTAAACTAGGACTGTCAAGATTAATGCATGCAAGTAATCTGATAAATTTTACATGCAAATATTATATAATGCAGATTAATCACATGGCCTTTTTTGACCTAAAAGGCTGTCTCTCGCAGAGGGTTGCATAGTTCACAGCATCAAGTTCTTGTACTGTGGTCAGCAATTTGTGCCAATTATTTATATCCCCTGCACAATTATGTCAGCACTACCAGTCTGAATTGTTGTTATTCCAAATTCTGACTCTGTCATTTGAATCTTTGAGCAAAAATCAAGACTCATAAGATTAGGCAATGGTTTTTCACTCCATCGTTCCAGTTTTGTGAGTGTGTGTGAATCAGGAGTGTCCAAAGTCACAAAGTTAAACTCCAGCAAGTCGCCTTCACCACGTCTACCGGCTGAATTCAAAGGAGATAAACACATAAATAATACAAAAATGAATTAAACTGGTGTACCTAATAAACTGGACGGTACATCTAGTCATCCAGTTAAAATGAAAAACTGCTGCACTACAACAACCTTTGAAACAAAACATCAACATTTTTGTTTTGGTTCAAAAACTGTAACTAATGAGAGAAACTGCATGCTGGATCTACTTAAAGCTAAATATTTTAAATAAAAATCAGAAAACAAACCCAAATGCTGACAAGGAGGAAGAGGTGGGCCAAGACCCAGGAAGAGCTGGTGCTTATCATCCTGTCAGAGGACGAGATCCAGGTGTTTTCTGGTCCAATCAGCACCAATTACCTGCTGCTGTGAAACACAACAAATGACATCAGGCCACAAAACCATGTGTATGTTTAACTTGACTTCAGCCAAATCTTTTATTCATTTATTTTGAATGATCAGAAATGTTATTTTTTTATGTTCCACCTTAGATGAAAGCGTTTCTGTCTCTCATGCAGACTGTGGGTTGTCACTGAGCTGGGAGCCAGTTGGGGATTTATCGGCCTCCGAGGAGATTTCCGCAGATTTCACGATAGACAACTTGACTGGATCAGAAGATATGCAGCACAGTTTGGTATGTACAAGTTTTTAAAACTGAAAATAAGTTGAGTCTGTGCTTACTGAGATCTCTGGTGGAAACTAAATGTATTGGAAACCTCTGGCTTAATTAGCTAAATAGAAACCACACTTGTGAACCTTATGCAAATTGTCTGCTGCCAGCTTTGCATGTCCAAGGCTTTTCAGAATGCTTTCATACCATTCATTCTATGTTTTTTCTTAGTTTTATTTTTGTTTAAGAGCGGTCCAATATAATGTTTTATTTATGATGTCCGGATGTTAAATACTTGAAAGCTCTCACCCCAGTCCATGGACCCACACTTGATCAGTCTGTGCTCAACCTAACGTTTGTCACACTGATCACAACATGGTTCTGTTTGAGCTGCTGCTTACTTCACTGCTGCCTTGAAACGCGCTTTGAGACAAAGTTCACGTTGTTAATACAGAGGAAGTGATGTTCTGCTTTAATGCCTCTTGGCAAAAGCATCCCGGACACAGGTTACCTCCTGAAACCACCTGAACCGTGGTGTGTTTTAGCACGTCTCGTGCTGCCAGCAGGTCTGATGGCAAGTGGAAAACAAGCAAACGGTGTCCTGTTAAATCCAAGACGGGCACACATATTTGGAAATTATTGGTGGAGAAAAATCAAAATATTTTAAATTAATTTCTTCTCTAAAAGCAGCTACAGACAGCCTGCAAATTGTCATTTTTTCTGCTGTTTTCAAGCAGTTTCAGCTCAATTAGTTGCTGGTCATATAAACTCTTCTACTTGGCTCTTGGTTTTTTTTTAGCCTCTGTATACTAATCATTAATTCCTGTTATAATTTTTTGATGCTCTTTTATCATTTTATGTGGACTTTCTTCAAGTTAATTTTTAACTTTATTTAGTTAGTATGAATGGTAGGTTGAACTCTGTTTTAAAATGTAAAAAAGTTTATAAACAAGTTTTAGATTTTTATTTTTCTTAGAACAATTCTTTTCTGCGTCATTTGCCGTACGTGACAGAAAACGTCAAGCGTGCCATTTTATGTAACGTCTCTATTATTTTACAGGTGAAACGGTTTATTAAAGTGTTTTTTAAATAGTCCTCATTGTTGAACTTGAATAAGTCCTTACTCTCTTACAGAAGCGTAAAAGGAAGGATCCCGGCCTGCAGTGTAACGGGACGAGCAGCCCTAAACGTCAGTGTGACATCGTGCTTTTTCAAACCGAAGAAGCAGGAAAAGACGGAGAACAGGTCCCGGTGTCTGTCGGTCATTGGGAGGACAGCGAAGACGACGTAGATCTAGAGAATATAGACCGTTGTATTGTACAGTTCACTGTTGGGGGAGATGATGTCCCAGTCATCCCTGAAGGCATCATTTTCAGCAACAAGCTAAGCTTATTGGCCGCAACTGAGACCAGCACATCTGATCCCAGTGAGTAAGCAAATATGTTATAGATAATTCTCAGAACTTATCTTTTTTTTTTTTTTTTTTTTGCAAAGTTTTTTTTTGTTAGGTATTTAGGGGCATTTTGGCCAAAATTTCTAAGCATAAACGGCTTATATTTGTCAGATTTAAGGATGCACATGTGGATGAGAAGTCAGATTACCGTAGATACCGACTGCCGACCGACTTTTTAAAGTAACCTGGACAAAAGTATTAATTTTGAATAAAGGGTTAAACATATTTAAGCTTTTTAAAGGCAGCTACCTTAAATGTCTCCTTCTGTTAACATTTTAGTCTCCTCTTTTGTTTACTTCAATCTGCTGTTTTATTTCTGCATCCAGCCTCTGGTTACAAGCTTCTGACTGAATTACAGCTCATTTTCCCAAGATGCCATTTCAAATAAGTAGTAGAAACACTAAGGAAATTAATTTAAAATGTTCCCCCCTATTTCAGTTGTGCTGTCCAGTGACGACGAAGAGAACAATGACGATTCTAAATGTCGCAGCAAATTGGTTGGAGAAATGGCCTCTGAGGTCGACGCAGTCGTGTATAGAAACTCCTCGAAGGAAGCTGCGTCCCAGCAGGAGAAAGCTTTAGACGCAGAGGACATGCAGGTTGGTGCAGCAGCTTTCATTCAGTCCATGCTTCCTCTGTACAGGAAGGACGCTTCATGTGTACAGCTTAAGATGATTTTGGAATGTTTTTTTAAAGACTTTACAACTTGAATCAAAAAAAGTTGTATCTGACCTGCATATCAGATAAATTTTTTTTTTTTTTTACAAAATCTTGATATTTTGAAGCTATAATTATGTCATAAAACAATTGTCTTTAGCTAGGAAGTAAGCGGCAACTTTTCCGATTGTCCCACTGAAGTTTTCCATCTCTTAACATCTGAAGAAACAAAGAACTTGGCATTTTTTAAGTTTTTAAGGTTGATCTGGATTGCCTGTATAGTGCCATGGGGGCTTGATTGCATTGTAAAATTCCCCTCTTCAAATGGACTGAATTAAGGCTGTCGTGATTCCTCGAATGACTCGAGTACCTCGATTATTAAAATTCCTTGAGGAAAAATAATCTGCCTCGAAGCTTCGTTAAGTTACGTTTTATTATTTAGCGCGCGGTGTTCCGCCCGGGTCATTATCATGGCCGGGTTCTTATCGTTTTCGGGGCAGCAATACGCATCCTTAAACTGCTGCCTGGAGGGCGGCAGCTTTTATAAATGTCTGGGCAAAGTGAGAGTTCATCTATCAAATTGACTGAAGATGAATACATACATTAAAAACTGGAGTATAGACATTTTTACAAGCGCATTTGTGAGGTTGCCTCTTTATTATAAAATTGAATATAGTTTCATATTTTTGTATAATTTCTCTTCAGGTTAACTTAGAAAGTGGGCTATTGTTGTTACAGGTTAATTTTCAAAAATTCAGAAAAGCTAGGGATGCTTAAATATGAAAAATTGGACTGATGTAATATTGGACCTGCTAATCGCTGATCAAAGTCGATCAAGAGATTTTGGTGCGTAAAGAATTTGGACTGATTGCATCTTCAGTCTTCTAACATGTTTGCACGATACTGTCTGAAATATTAAAGTCCCAGTTCCTTTAAAAACACAGCTGTGTATTCATATCATAAAAAATTGTCTCTGTAAAGAGCTGAGATGATGGATTAGACACCAGTGTTTTAATGAAACTTTTAAATTTAATTTTCCTCCATAATCTTTGTAACATCACCACCGTATGGGCTTAAGTAATCTGAATGGTGCGCAGTATGTTCTTCTGTCATTTGTGTGTTTACCACTAGATGGCGGCAAAGTAATGAATTAAAGAGGTTTTGGAAAACTGCAATGTTAAAATGCAAACCCAACGCAGGTCTTTGTGCCTCTGGTAAATCAGGACGTGATAATTATTTGATCATAACTTTGTTTCTTTGTTGTTCAGGTTTTGCAGCTGCTGATTGAAGAGAATCCACCTTCAGCACCAGGTTCTCCTGCCTGTGAGGTGGACTACTCCTCTTTGAGCGTGCCTTTTGTGTCCTTATACTGCGGCTGTTACAAAGTAAAATCAGCTGGAGGCCTCATGGTAAATCCAGTGGAATAATCCTGAGAGATTTTTACATTCAGTTTCTGTTTCATAAATTGAGTAACAGTTTCTTTCTTTCCCTTTACAGATTTCAAAACATAAGGTTATCATGCCACTTAAAGGTAACTTTTGTATTTTTTTTTTTTTGATCCATGCAACTGATGATAGTCTGTCCCTCGTCATTCAAACTTCTTCCCTTAATTCATGACTTGTACCATGACTCCTTTGTTCGTGTCCCTTTAAGCTGGTTGTATTGGCCTTTGTTTGTCAGGCTTACCTGTGACCTTTGCTCCAAATTGTTTCAACCTTGCCAGTAAAGGAACCTGTTTTATCTCCTTCTGGTCAAGCTGTCTGGGTCCCATCTTAGTGGTCTATTTTAGTTCATTGTCTTTGTTCTCGTGGATTCGAACTTTTAAGACCCCACCATCACTTTCGGCTGAATATGAAATATATTCAGTTTTTTTAACCGTATCAGTTAATGCGTCTAGGGACATTTCATTGATATGATTAACTATTTAAGGCATTTATTTTGGGGGGGTTAATCAGAAATCCCTCAATAAGTAAAGTTAAGCAACAGTGTTGCTGCTTGAATTGGCATTTAAAAACAATAATTCTTATTTATTTTTTGAACATCGGGAGGTTTTACCATCTCCATGTAGGATCATGGGTTGCTTGGGTATAAAAAGAGGAAAACAAGTTGTTTTGTTTTTTATTTTACCAAATACTTATTACAAGTTTCTGCATGGCTACACACTCGTAATTAAGAACTATAAACCAATATCATATTGCCAGGCTCAGTAACTGAAATGTTATCTGCACATGTTCAACGTTGGTTATGTTGAGGAGAAGATGCACATCTTCTACTGATGTATTTGTAAATGCAATAAAACGGTAAAAACAGCAACTTAATGTTTTAAAAATGTTTGTCTTTGCCAGTTCTCCAACAATGAATTGCATTGTGTACTGAGAAGGAACAATCCTATCAGGACGTCTTGTCCCAGACGTTGATGTTTAACATCGGGCATCTGCTCAAGATCTTATTAAAGGGAATAAGTCAAATGGCATTTATTTGCCTGAAAACTCGGTAGCTTTAAAGTTTTTATCTGTAGCAGACTTAACTAACTTACTAGTTAGCCAGGACTCAGCAGTTTGTTCTCCTTTTGTTTTTCTTGTTGTAGTTCTAGAAAATAGTTTGGGGAAAACTTGCTGAGTACAATGTTTTACCACTTTTAAACTTGGTGTTTTGCTTTGAACGTCATAAAATTTAATGAGTTGTGTTTCAGCCGCTCTCGCCACGGCTCTGTTGCACAGAATGCAAAGCAGGTCACATGACGCTGAGTCACAGGCCAACAAATCAACAGGTGTTGGAGTTGAGTTGGATCAGGGATCATTTAAAATGAATACTTGGATCTCATCTAAAAGATGAGAATTTTTTTTCTCTTTTTTTGTTCAGTTTAACCCAAAGATTGTATTTGTGCACGATTGAAATTTTAAACTATGTTTAAAATTGATTTATCTGGCCTGATCCCTTCCTGTCCTCAGGCACAGGTGAGCAGCTGAGTTTTGAGCGCAAAGAGCTGAGGAGGTACAGCGTCTGGGATCAGCAGGAGCTGGAGGCTCGAGAAATCCACTTTGGAGACGAGGATCCTTCACCGCCTGGCGTCATGCTGTTCTTTGTGTCGGAAGCTGCTGCTGCTGCTATACACCAGGAACTTTATCAAATGTGTGTTAGTGAAGATGGACCCATATACTCTGGTGAGAAGGGAGGAAGATGGAGCATGTAGTTTATTGGCTGATATTTATCTGATAAATGAATGTTTCGTTTTACCAGGAAAAGCCAGCCCCTTCATCCTGCTGACTCTCAAAGATCCTTTGGAGGGAATGGAAGGAGCTTTGCTTCGCTCCGTGTTGGACATCGACTGCATCAACAGGATGACGCACGAAAACAGCATCGCAAACAACGGCGTCGGACTGAGCAGTTTATTGGACATTGATGCTCCAGTGCTTTCCATGGATGAAAGTATTAAGCTAATGACAAGAACTGGAGTGGACTCGCATCTGCTCTCCATACTTGGAATTAAGAGCTCAGACTCTGATGTGAGCGTGGGCCTGGACAGTTCTCACTACGAGGACGAAATCCCCACCGCCCACATCTGGGTGGACACCAACTGTGAGAAAGACGAGGAGCAGGACCTCGACATGGCGGCAGAAGATGGTGAGACGGAGGCCGAACCAAAGGAGGACCAGGAGGATGAAGAACCAAAGACTCCCTCTGATGTAAGTCGTTTCTAACTTTTTTTTTTTTTTTTAAATTCACTTCTTTTTTAAATAGTCTGAATGTTTAGAAGATTCTTGCACCTTGGTATGATTTCTGAAGAAATATGAGATGTTTGCAGGTTATTTGTTTTTAGGACTGCTTCTTTACACATTTTAACCTTTTAAAATATTTCAACTTGGTATTTTGTGCTTTGACATTTTGAGGCTTAAGTTTTTGCTGCAGCTTTTCCTTTCGTCTTAAATGTTTTGTACAGAGATGATGCATTTTGTACCTTTAACACCTTTTAGATTTGCTTGAAAACTTCAAATCTGCTCAGAACTTGGAAACATTCAAAGATTTTAATCCTTTAAGTACCAGCTTTATTTCATTACTAAAATGGAGGTGAGACTTTAATGGTTACATATGGATTTGTCTAAAAATTCTCAACAAAATTGGCTTGAATATATTTTTTGTAGTGTCAGATACTTGTAGCACTTTGTGGTAAAATGCACCTCTTATAATTGTATTACCAAACCATGAATTCTAAAATGTTAGCAATTCGTTTAGAAGAAAAGTAGTAAAAACTGGGAATATTCATTGTCGTCCACCAGATTCAGAGTAATGAAATCTTTGTAACGTCTCCTTTCACCAACAGGGTGTCCAGATGGAGTATCTGGTTTTACAGAAGAGCACTACTGCAATTTCTTTTGCGACTGTTGAATGAATTTGAGTGTTTCTCCTGCTGCCTCATATGGCATTGCTTAAAAAGCTCAGTATTAAAAGAAATTGTATCCATCACGTCCTAAACAAGCTAAACGATTTGGTATTCGAATGGCTGAAATGACACAAAAATGACAGTGTTAGTATTAGTGGATGTTTTATAGGTTTCTGGTGATGCTGTCAGGTTTTTTTTTTACCTGTTATTTTTTGAAACAATTCACCCTAAGGTCATCTTAAAGTTGTAAGTTTGAAAGCCTCTAATTGGATGCATTTACTCCCACAGAGCAAAAAGGAGGAAGCCAGGCCTGTGTACACAGTTTGCCATCATAGAAAAAATGGATCCTACTCTGTATCGCTCTGTAAACCTGATTCCAAGTGGAGTAAATATAAGCATCGGGGACTGACTCAAAGGCAAGTGACACGACTCCCTTTACATCCTTATGTTGTCTGGTAAAAACAAGTATGTCTGCTGCTGCTTTCTAATTGGAGTGTGTGTTAATTTGATTATGAATAGATGCTACAGCTCTGCAGTCTAAAGTTGTAAAAGCAAACTACTGATCTTTGTTTTTATTCATAGGTTAATACAGTTTCCTCCACCACCGTTGAAAGGGGGAATAACTGTGACATTGGAAGATCTGCAGTGCCTTGATAGTGGGCAGTACCTCAACGATGTCATCATTGATTTTTACCTGAAGTAAGTGAAAGTTTGGCCTGTCGGGTGATTTTTTTATTTATTTATTTTTTTGTGGTGAAAACCTCTCTGAATCAGCCATTGTGTGATGTATATATATATTTTAAACAGATACCTTATCCAGAATGCATCTGCTGCCATTTCTAAGCGCTCCCACATCTTCAGCAGCTTTTTCTACAAGCAGCTGACGCGCCGGGACAACGCCAGCGAAGGAGGCAACAACGACTTGTAAGGGAACCGGTGTTGCATATTTAGACTAAAAGACTTATGTCTGGAAAATTTAAACATAATTTGCAAGGTATTATTTAACTCCCTGAAAGATTTTATGAACTCCTTTTAGGAGTATTTGTTTTTAAGAAGGTAAGAAGTTGCCCAGTTCTTTGCGTGGCCAACAATTTCTATAAACTGAATGTAACTGAAGCATTTTTTTTATTTTTTTAGCAGTTATTTAATGAAATTGTTTAGATCGTCTAAGAGCTTTGAATTGTTTCTCTGGCAGCTAAATAGAGAAAAATTTGCATTTGTGGCAAATCTCATACAAGCTATCAATAAAAATCTGATTGCCTTTGCTAGAAAACCAAAACTCTTACATTTAGGCAACTTAAGAGAAAGAGGCAGACGTTCTACTAAATCAACTAAAATATTTCACCAGACATAAAATCGAACATCTTTCATGGCCATCTCAGTCCTCAGACCTAAATCCAATAGAGAATCTGAGGTAGTCTGAGGACATAAGAGTCGTCTCTGGATGATCTGCAGAGATTGTCCAGAGGAACGGCACTCTGTAAGCTCCAACTGTGTGAGAAAACTAAGTGATGCTCTATTGACACAAAGATATTGTCCAAACTTTTACCTGTGCCAGTAAGTAATAATTTTTCACTACTGAATAGATTTAGTCAAGACAAAGGTCGAGGTTTTTCTACATAATTTAGTTTACGATTATGCTGCCGCACTAACAAAAATGCCTTTATTTCAACGCTTGTTATACATTTAAAGCTTATGTTGTATATTTTTAGTTTTTTCTGTCTGTTATGAATATGAACGGTTTTCTAACTTCTGTTTAAAATAGACTCGGTTGTCAGAGGCAGAGGCGGCACCAGCGAGTGAAAACGTGGACCCGGCATGTGGACATCTTTGACAAGGACTTCCTGTTTGTGCCTGTTAATCAAGAGTAAGCACAAAACTCACGAAGACCTGTGTTTGACCTCCATTTGTGTACAATGTGTGACCTGCTGCTGTACTTTCTTTCTCTGTCCAGAGCTCACTGGTATTTAGTTGTTGTTTGCTTTCCTGGGCTTGAAGAAACTCAGATGGTGGACTGGGTGGGAGAGTCGCAGGGTCAAGATGAGGCCCAACAATGTAAAAGCTCTAATGATCATTCAGAAATCCTGGTGAGACTAGACCCCAGTGATGGTATGGAAACAGAGACAGGTAGGCAGGCACACCTGTACTGGGATCGGTATAATAATGAGGCAGTGAGAACCTGCTGAAGCCAGATTTTTTTTTTTTTTTTTTTTTTTTTTTTTTTATTGTTTGTTTTCAGAAAACGGTCAGGATGAAGTGGCTAAAGACCCTCCGCCTCCTTGTCCAGTTGTAAGAACAAATTTTATTGTGCTCAACAGAAATGTTTTCTAATTTCTAAAAAAAAAAAATATTTTTCCACAATTTACCCGATATTGTCTTTTTTTCTGTGTAGACTTGCACAGAACATACATGTGTGAGACGGACCGTTTGCAGAAGGTGAGTTTCTCTGCCACCTCAGCAGCACCTCAACATGCAGAGCAGTTTGTCATACAATTATTAACTATAATGCGTTTAATATTTTCCAGTTTGGTTTTTCTCCAGAGGCTTTTTGTGTCTTTCACTTTTCATATTTTGCATTTTGTTCCTAATGTTGTATTGTACTAAACACTTTTGTTGCTATGTTAACATTAGTTCCTGATTAGGACAGTAGAAACATTTTTCATGAAGAAAAGTAGCTTGAACAGGTTGACTTTGATTTTGTTCTTTGATATGTTAGTATATCTAAGAAGCAGCACAGTTGAAAGCTGGGTGAGAACTGTGATCGCAGGTTGGCTCGTCTTTCTCCTGCAGGCCGTGTATTCTCATCATGGATTCTCTCAAACTTTCTTCCCACGAGCGGATCTGCAAACTCTTACGGGAGTAAGTTGAACACTTTAAACCTACAGTGAAGGTGTTTGTGAGTAGATGGGTGAGGGAAGGGAAGCTTTTCTGTCCTACAATCAGACATAAACAGGTTAACTTTGCTAAACACTGACACTTTAACTAGACTCTTGTGATCTCATAAGACTACCATTGAAGGTTTTGATAAAAACACCAAAGGCGTCCAATACAAGTCAAAAAGATTTTCTTTCACCATGATGGAGGTTCTGTGATGTGTGGACTTGTCCCTCTTCACTGCCTGGCGCCATCAACTCTTTGGACAACTGTTTTAAATAAATCTGGTTCAATTTGTCAAAAGATGATAACGGATCCTTGAAAATGATCTCTTATCAGATCGGCACAGAAGTGCTTCACCTGGCGCGAAATTTACTTTCATTTATAACAATCTGGGCACAAACCTGAATAACGTGGCTGAATTTCTTCATCAGCATGTGATCCAGGTCTGCAGAGGTCTGAATGAGCCATTCGTTTGACTCGGGCATCTTGGAGAAGGGATGTGTGGGGGAATCCGTGATCTAGAGAAATTGTAACAAATGATGGGTTCTTTCTCCTCGTGATATTTTGCTGCAACTACTTCTAAGCATGTTTTTGTCTCCTACTGTGTAAATCTTCTAGTCAAAGTTTGGGGTTAAGAAAAAAAAAAGTCCAGTGTGGGTTTACATTTCTGCAATAAACAATTATCAGGGATATTTGCCAGGAGATTTTGTTGCTGTGTGTTGAGCTGATTCGTGTGTGTGTGTGTGTGTGTGTGCACGTGTGTGTGCGCGATCTCTCCAGGTACTTGCAGTCAGAATTTGAGGTTCGTCGTGGATCATCAAGGGAGTTCGGTTTAGATCAGATGAAAAGCTCACATTGTCAAGTTCCACTTCAGGATAACAGCAGTGACTGTGGCCTTTACCTCCTTCAATATGTTGAGTGTTTTTTAAAGGTAAAAAGCTTAACTTTATGGCCCTTAATTTTATTGGATAATCTGATATGCTTTAAGAATATGTCATGCTTTTTGTTTTTTTTTTTGTTTTTTTTTTTAAAGGTGAGCTCATAAAATGATTTGTTGTTCCGCAGGACCCTGTGGTGCATTTTGATTTACCTCTGCAGCTGCAAAAATGGTTCTCCCGCCAGGTGGTTCGGAAGAAACGGGACGAAATCCGAAACCTGATCCTTAACATTTACCGGCATCAAAACATGGACAGTAAAAACACATGAAGTAGCTCTGCTGCTCAGCGAATCACATTCCTGAAGTCATTATAGAGCATTGCTCATAATGAGCAAAAGACATTTTATTTCAGTGTAAACTGGAACACGTTTCTCTGAACATGACTCTTTGAGCCCATGTCTTTAACCAAACCAATAATCATAACTCAAATATTTGGTAAGTAGAAATCAAAAATGTTTGTTCATCCCACCAATTAAGGCCTAAAGATTTGCTAACTCTGACAGGTTGCTGGCTTTTTTTTTCCCCTTTACCCCCCCCCCCCCCAATCCCAACTGGTTTTTTTTAAAAATTTTTTTTTTTATAAAAAAAAGAAAACTTG